ACTGTTTCTATCATGAAGAGTGTTGGATTTTGTCAAATGCCGTTTTGCATCTATTGAGATGATTGTGTAGTTTTGTCTTTTATTCCGTTGATATGGTATATTGCAGTAATTAACTTTTGATTTTAAACCAACCTTGCACTCTTGGAATAATCCCACTTGGTCATGGTGTGTAATCCTTTTTATATGTTGCTGGATTCCATTTGTTAACATTTTGTTGAGGATTTTTGTGTCTGTATTCAATATTTACTGACTTTTTAAAAATAAAGTTTAATTGAAAAAACTTAAACATACAAAAAGTCTAGAAGACAATGTAACAGACATCCATTTCGCAAAATTAATCAGTGCCTGAAGAAACACCTGCTCCTTTTGTCTTATTTTTGTCAGAATGCATTCCTTTTCTCTCCCACCCTTCCTCTGCTCTCTCTTCTTGTCTCTCTCCTTCCCTTTTGAGAAGTGTGAGAGTCCAGTGCTGGCCAAGCCCCCTCCAGGCTCTTTCTCCTGCTGATTACAGGTAAAGACTCTGGAGAAAATATTGAAAGGAAAAGTGTATAAATGCTGATAGATTGGGAAGGAGAATCGAAACTTGGGGCAGTGACCCACAGTGTGAGTTTTCCATTCTTTCAGTCCTCTTTCTTTCGTGGCTGTTACCGTCAGCCAGTTCCCAGTTATGGGCTGTGCTGTGTGGGTTGCTGCGCAGGCAGCAAAAACTCTTAAGAGAAACCCCCATCCTTCTGTCTAGAGGAGCTGTGAAAGGGGCCCTACAAGCAGGAACGTGTGAGGGAAAGCAAAGGAGCTAGAAGAATCAAAACCATTTTGAAGAAGAAGAAAAAGTCAGAGGGCTCAGTCCACCAAATAGCAAGACTTGCTGTGAAGCTGTGATCCAGATGGTGTGATACTGGGGAAGGACGGGTGTGTAGTCAGTGGGGCAGAACAGATATTCCCAAGATAGCCCTACTCAGATATGGGCAGTTAATTTTTGACCAAGATGCAAAGGCAATTCAGTGGAGAAAGGATAGTCTCTTCAGTAAGTGGTCTTGGAATAATCAGTCATCCATCTACAAAAACGGAAACTTGACTGCACCTTGCATGTCACATAAAAGTGAACTCAAAATCGATCATAGACCTAAAGTACACCTAAAACTTTTTAAACTTCTGGAAGAAAACAGAAAATCTTTGTGAACTAGAGTTAAAGCATTGTTCGATATGACACCAAGAGAGTGATCCATAAAAGTTGATAAGTTGGACTTAAAACTTTTCTTCTCCTAGAGACTGGTAAGAGAAATGAAAGACAAGCCACAGACTGAGAAAATATTTGGAAATTACATAATCTAACAAAGGATTTTTAACCAGAATATATAAAGAACTCTCAAAACTGAGTAAGAATGCAAATAACCCCCCCCCCCCGAAAAAAGGTGAACAAAAGACTTTAACAGACACTTTGCCGCAAACGATATACAGATAAAAAGCAGGGGCATGAAAATGCCCAATTAGTCCCTAGGGAAATGCAAATTAAAACATGCAATAACACTACGCATCTATTAGTAGAGCTAAAGTGAAATTAACTTTTTTTAAAATCCTGCCAAACCAAGTGCTGGAGAGGATGAGGAGCAGTTGCAACTCATAGATGGCTGGTGGGAATGCAGAATGTACAGCTGCTTGGTACATGGTTTGGAAGTTTTCTATAAGGTTAAACGTGTGTTTACCACGTCGACGAAAATAATCCATAACCAATCTATAAATGAAAATTTGGGTGAGTTTATTCTGAGCTGAAATCTGAGGACCATGGCCCAGGGCCTTTCTTCCCGAAGGAAGAAAAGGCACCAAGGAAGTGAGGTATACAGAGTGGTTATATACCCCCATACAGGACGTTTCACATATGATTGAAATGTCCCTCCCTCAATAGTCACAAGATTGCACAGCACTTGATGGACACAGCAGGTAGTGGGTCTGCTCTCTCAGAGGGCGTAGCAGGAGGCCATTCTATTGTCTCTGGGTGGTCACAGGTGAGCGCAGCAATCAGTTTCTAACCTAAGGAAAGATGCTTAATCCTTAAGGAGATGCCAACGTTGGGAGGGGGAGGGAAGTTGCACCTTTATCTCAAGGGCCTTTGTTCTTGCCATAGGGAATATCTAAAGCAGATATACAATGCATGCTCAACGGCCTCAGTCAGGCCCTTTTGGAAAGACAAGGTCAGGCCGAATTAGGTTTACACAAAATGGCTTCCTCATATACTCCAATATATCCTATTACTTGCCATTTTTACTTGTCAACCACATGACTCAGCAGACCCATTCTGAGGTCTTTACCCAAGAGAAATAAAAACATGTTTACTCAAATACCTGTGTGCAAATATTTATAGTGGCTTTATTCAAAACCGTCAGGAAGTGGAAGCAGCTAGCATTTCCCAGCTGGTGAGTGGATGAACAGGCACATTCGTGCGATGGAATTAACTACACAGCAGTGAAAACATGTTGTTGACACTCCCAAAACATGGCGGAATCTCACATGCATCGTGCTGTGTGAAAGCCAGATGAAAGCCTCCATGAGTACAAGTCCTTCTATGGGACCACCTGGGAAAGGCAAAGTGAAGTAGCAGAAAACGTGAGCGGTGGCCGGGGTTTGGAGTGGAGGAAGGCTTGACCACAAAGCGTCTGCTTGGGGAACTGCCTTGTGAGTGTGGTTGTGGTTACATACTTATTTCTCAAAAAGTCGTAGAACTGTCACCAGAAGGAATGATTTTTATTGCGTGTAAACTTTAAAGTGAGAAATAAGGTTGAGGTACAGCTAAAAGTTAAGGCCGCGTCCCCACCCCCGTCTTCACCCCGCCCTGCCTCGGCCCCTGCAGTGCTGTCCTAATGTTGTGAGTGCTCTTCTTACTTGTGCTTTTGTGTTCTTACTGTGTGTGTGTAATCATGAGGAAGATAGATGGTGGGTTTTGTGTGTTTCAAACGTTTACATAAATGGTACAATACTGTGTGTATCTTTCCGCAACTTGGTTTATTCCTCTCCACATTGTGTTTCTGTTTTATGCACATAGACGTAGTTCATCTGTTTTCACTTCCTGTCTTAGTCAGCTCAGCTGCCATAACAAAATGCTGCAGGGGCAGTGGGGCGGCCTTCAACAACAGGAATTGATTTCTCACTGTTCTGGAGGCTAAGTCTGAGGTCAAGGGGGTGGCCAGTTTGGTTCCCTCGAGGGCCGGCTTCCTGGCCTGCATCTGGCTGTGTGCTCACACAGTGGAGGAGGGGCATCTCTGTTCTCTTTCTTTTCTCATAAAGGCGTTAATCCCATCATGGGGGCCCCATGCTCATGAGCTCATATAATCCTGATCACTTCCCATTGGGCTAGGGCTTCAACACATGAGCCTTAGGGACACAGACTTTCAGTCCATGGCTCCTTGTGCCAGTTCACGTATGATCATTTGTTCCCTGGGAGTCAACCAGAATATTGTGGACTTTTGTTGTTAAAATAATCCATGTTCCCGGGCAGATCCAGTACGTCCCAATTTCCTTGTGTACACACCTGAGACCACACCTGGAAAGGGACTTGCCACCTCTAGGGCACACGCATTGCAGCTTTGTTAACTCCTGTTGTCTCCAGAGACTGTGGCACAGCTGCATCTTCTGCCCTGCTCACTCTACTGGGCCTCCCCACCCACTTCCAGCTGCTTTGCCAGGGTCAACAGCATCCTCTTCACAGTGAAACCCGGGACCCTTCCCACTCCCATCTTCCCTCATCTTGGGAGGTTTACCATTCGACCACCTGTCCTGACGAAGGCCTCTGCCCCTGAACAGCTGTGAGCCTCCGTTGTCCTGCACTCTGGACATCCGTCTGCTCCTTCCCAGGTGCCACTCCCTCTGCCAACCCCTGTCCACGGTACATCTCTGCCACGGTCCCTTCTCTCCACCATCTCCAGCCATCTCATCCTCTATGATAGCGTTTGCTGGTAACTCTGGGCTCCACCCCCAACCCCGACCTCTTCCCTGACCTATAGACACCACATCCATCTGCCCCGAGCTCCTCCACTGGGCGGTCTAAGGTGCCTTCCCTGACCTGTGGATGCTGCGTCCACTGCCCCCAGCTCTTCCCCAGCGGAGCCCAGCAGGCTCTGTGGATGGGGCCACTCTGACTGTGACTCACCAGCTCCGGGTAGAATCCAAAGCCCACAGAGGTGCCCTGTGCAGCCAGAGTTCCGGCCGTGGTGCCTCCGACTGCCCCGGCCACGCCTGAGCTCCGTTTCTCAGAGGCGCCAGGGTCTCTTCTTCCCAGAAACCCTGTTAGCTGGCATCTCTCTTGTCTTCCCAGACCCATCTCTGATACTACAATGTCCGAGAGCTCTGCGCTGAGGGGCGTTGCTGGCTGTGCATGGCCTGGCCACCCAGGCAGGCTAACATCTGAACCCGTAACCTGCAGGAGGAGCGAGAGCACCATCCACTGGTGCTGGCAGATTCTCAGCCAGAGCGGCTGTTTCCTATGCAGGAAATGGACAGGCACTAGCCCTGCATGGCTCTGCTGCAGGGGTGGGGCGGGGTTTGGGAGGAGGGACGTTTAGCACAGTCCTCTAGGACGCGGGCCTACAGAGCTTCCCACATTTAGGATGAGCATCTAACAGCGCAGTATCAGGGGTTAGGGTCAAGGGTATTAGGCCCCTTCCCTGGTGACACGGTGTGTAGAACACCTGCCATGTGTCATATGTGCCTTCTCTTGCCTCTCATCTCTAGAGGGGAAACTGAGGCAAGAGTGTGTCTCCCCAATCACAGTGCTCAGCTGTGACGTGGCGCTCTTCCATGAGGGTGGAAATACAGCGGGCTCACTGGGAGAAGATACAGTGTCAGGGAAACTTCCCACCCCTGAGGGCAGGTTCTTTCAGCCCCTACCAAGCTCCCACCAGGGAGGGCGTCCCTCCTCCCAGGCCCTGCCCCAGCCTGCATCGTGCCTGAAGCTGACGGGGCAGACCCCCAGAAGGACCCCGCATGCTCAGAACTGTGCTTCTTCCTAGGCCTCGCCATGTCTGGGTCCCGGACCCCAGAGTCGGCCCTTGATGTAGGGGGAGACTCCTTCACGTCCTCGAGGGAAGAGGATGCTGCCGATGGGATCCAGCACTCCCATCGCATGCTCAGCTTCAGCGACGCGCTGCTGTCCATCATCGCCACTGTGATGGTCCGTGAGGGGCCCCACCCATCTCAGAGCCTGTCCCCACCCAGAGCCTCCACACCCTCTCAAGGCAGCCTTCTGGTGGAGCCCAGCCCAGCACAGACCCTGACCTGAGCCTCAGCAGCATCTTGGGCTCCCCCATACCCCCAGGCAGCTGGGTTGGGGCGAGCAGCCCAGGACTGGCCTGCGTCCCCGACACCATAGCACCCGAGGAGCAGGCAGTGCCCAGTCCAAGAAATGTCCCTCACTTCTTTTGTGTCTTTGCTCTCATAGATCCTGCCTGTGACCCACACCGAGATCTCCCCGGAACAGGTACTTGGGAACAGTCTGCAACACCTGGCGTGAGGGGAGGGTCCAAGAGACTCACTCAGCCCACTGGCCCACATGTGGCTCCATACAAGGCACACCTGGTTGGGAGGGGCCGGGCGAGGGCGTCTGCTGCCTGCCCTGCAACGCTGGTTAGCCTTCCTGACTGTGAACTGAGGCAGTGCCCTCCAGGAGAGATTCCAGTACAGGCTGAGAAGGGGGTTTCGAGAGCCACCCCCCATCTGCTCACTGGGGTAGGCCTGTGCCAGGAGGCTGGTCTTCACATGAAGGGAGTGCAGCGAGCGCCACAGGGGAGCTGCCCGGAGGTCTCTGCTCTGTCGTCCCTGGAGTGTCCCTCGTGGTAGGAGCTCGGGGAGCAAAGGGCAGTCTGCCTGCCTAACCAGCAGGTGCAGCAGCTGGCGGCCTCACAGGAAGAGGCTCCCACCTGGGCCTGCTCAGTCCACAGGAACGTGTGTGTTTTATCATTGGAGATAAGTGGGAAACAGTTTTCTAAAGCAGAGTATCCATTTATAGCCGACTTGGAGTATTTCTGTTTTCTAAGTAAAACAGCGACATGGCAACTTAGAAGCTGGACGTGATTTTGGAGGACATTAGGAAGTTTCTGGGCTTGCGTGTGTGAGCATGCCTTGCCCGGCCACCTTGCGTGTGAGTGGGGTATCATCTCGAGGTGCCGAGGAGCGAGGATGTGCCCGGCTGGGCTCCAGGTTCCGGTCCCAACTCGCGCTGTCAGCTGGGATGCTCCTGGGAGTCACGAGGACTGCCCAGTTTCACGTTTTCATCTGGGGAGGTGGTAACGACACCTCATAGGGTTTGGGGAGACTCACACAAGCATGGGTCAAGCCTGGCAGTGGCAGCAGCACACAGCACAGGGAATAAAAGTCCAGTGCCACTGCCTCTGTTCTGGAGCCACCCCTCCACAAGGGGCCTCAGGAAAGCCACGTCCCCACTGGGTCCTCGGTGCTCGCCAGGCTGTGCCTGCTCCAGAACCTTCTGGGGAGTGCCACTGATTTCAGGACAGGGTTGTAGATATGTGAGCATGAGATGAGAAGGTGACAGCACATGAGGCCAGACCTCCTCACTTCTCTGCAGTCAGGGTCATCTTTTTGGAGATTGTCTTTTTATGGAGAAATCATCTCTCTGTACGTGCTCATTGGTTCATGGAGAGAGCTCTAGCCAGAAAGTTCTGTGTGGTCTGGGGACTCCTGCAGAGGAGGCATTGCTGGGATGGGTGGGCCTCCTGAGGAGGTGCCGGTGGTGCACCTGCTGACACGGAGGAGACTAGTCAAGACCCGGACGCCCCCTGATTCAAAACCATGACTGCTCCACTGGGCCACTGGGTCAGAGACCCTCTTGCAGATAAAGACCAATGAAAATGGTAAAGCAGTCAGCTTTCTGTTTTGAGTTTTGGTTGATAAAGCGTGAAATCCCTCCTCACAATTTCAAGGGCCCAGGCTTTGGGTGGAGCTGGTTTTCCCCCTCAACTCCATTCACCTCGGACCTGGGGGAGGAGTCACTGCTCCTGATAGGCTTCACAGCTGTTTTTGAATTGGAACCGTTCCCAGCAACGCTGTTGACTCACCGCATGGCGGCAAGGCCTGTGGCCACTCTGCTCCACCTGGGAGCGGCTGGAGGAAGAATCTCTGCCTCAAGAGCTGGTGTTTGGCAGGGAACTCCACATACAAACCCAAATGCGCATCCAGGATGTGGGCCATCAGTGCATGGAGAAGGGCGTGGACCTCAGTGACAGGGCGACAGGAGGCCTCAGGGACAGGCAGGGTAGAGGCGGAGTGAGAAGGAGAGGCGAGATGCTCCCAGGCGCTCCAAGGCCTGGGGTGTCTCAGTGCCTGGGGTGGCCGCCAGCTGCCGTGAAGTGAAGCTCTCTGATGGCTGTGCTCTTCTATTCCAGCCATTTGACAAAGGTGTACAGAAACTTCTAGCAACCAGGATTGCCGTCTACCTGATGACGTTCCTCATCGTGACCGTGGCCTGGGCAGCGCACACGAGGTATGGGGTTGGGCTGGGGCTTTTCCTGGCCACAGTCTGCATTTTTGTGACTGGCATAATGTGTACGCCCAGTGGATTCAGCCCCAACCAGGCTGAGGGTCAGCGAGGTGGCCAGTGTGCACTCACGGCACCAACAAGAGGCCTGTTGGGTGTCTAGCCCCTCACCTCCTTGGAAGAGCTGAGTCCCATGGGGGTCGGGTCAGTAGGCTGCCCCTCCCCACAGAGTCCTTGCCCCCAGCCTTCACTTCCTCATCTGCACACAGCAATGACAGGGCCCTGAGATGATGAAGCAGTGACGTGCTCATGCAGGCGTACGCTGGTCAGGCCTGGGCTGCACGCATGGCTGCTGCCTGCTAGACCCCAGAGACCACACAGGCAGGGCATGGGAAAGGCTGGGAGCCACCGCCCTCTGCTACCCGGTAGCTCCATGCAGTGTGTACAGTCCCTTCATCCTGGTTCTGGGACTCTAGTGAGGAGGATAAGCATGCTCCAGGGACACGTGCTCCAGGGCCAGAGCTTCCTCTTAAGGAGGAAAGGCTTCCTTAGGATCCGAGGGAACATGGCCCCAGAGCTGCAGGGAGCCCCTGAGCCCCCAACCCAGGCCAGGAGGGCACCCATAGATAGAGCTGGGGTGGGAGCATGGGTGGCGATGCCCCTGGTTAACAGGCTGCCTTTGGGAATGAGGTGCTCTCTCCGACTAGGAGTGCTGGGGGTGCGGGCACACCCAGGAGCCTTTTGGGCATTGGCAGCTTGCATTAGAAGTGTCTCCAGTTTTATGTCGCACACTTGTTTTCAGCAGTGACTGTTTCTGGTGGGGATAGGGGACCCTCCCTAAAGGCTTAAGGAAGGGCTTTTCTTTTCTGCCTCCCTTGTTCATGGAGAGCAGGAGGCCCATGGGCTGGCAGGAGCCATGGGCCCACGGCTGCCCTCTGTATGGTCCTGCTGGTGACTGTGCAGGCCTCTGGCATGGCCAGCTCCCTTTCGGATCAGCAGTGTGGACAGGGCTGTGTAGCACCTTGTTTGTGCACTGGCTCATCAAAGGCCACACCTGCTGCTGGAGGCCCTGCCTCCTGGGCACAGCCTCCTGAGGATCCCCTGGCCCCTGCTGGATGCAGACCTCCCAAGTGGGGAACCAAGGCCCGCTGAGCTCAGCCCAGGAGGGGTCAGAGCCCTGGGATACCATGGAGGGCACGGCCAGGGGGGCGGGGTTGGGAGAAGGATTTTGTTTCCAGACCCGAGTGGAGCCTTGGTGAGCTCTGCTCCTGCCCCAACTCCCCGTTTAGTTCTCTGTCTAGTTCTCTCTTCACATAAAACTGTCTCGCTGTCATCTCAGCGTGTGTTTGATGCTCTTAGACCACGTTCGTCAATGCCACGTCATTTCCTGTTTGTCTTAAATTGTTTAGATTGTTCCAGGTTGTTGCAAAAATAGACGACACGCTTGCCCTGCTCAACCTGGTGAGTTGCTCCTGTCATTTTGGGGGATGATTGCGTCTGTAGCTCTGCCCTCTGAGGTGGAGAGGATGCAGCATCAGCTTCTGTGGTGCCCCTGGGTGTGCAGAGCCTGGAATCCGTCCACTCCCAGGCCTCCCACAAGGCCTTCCCTGTCAGGTGGGCAAGGGCACGTGCTTCCTTGTGGTCTGGGGGTTGGACAGTGACATGTTCTTGGGTGGAGCACTGCCAGCCGGTCCCCCTGGGCAACATGGGCCTGAGTGGCCTGCTCTCCTCCCCTCCTCCTCTTCCCCAGGCCTGCATGATGACCATCACCTTCCTGCCATTCACGGTGAGTAACAGCAATTTCCTCCGCCAATTCCCTTGACACCTCACTGAGTGCCACCCTGGGTCCAGCCTCTGCTGGGCCAGAGGACTCGGAACCTAAGATGTTCCCTTCTCAGAAACTTCGACCAGCTGGGTGGTCTAGGGCATGGACCACACGGTTGCAAAGAGGAGGGAAAGTTCCAGGGAAGCGTGTCCCTGGGGTTTCTAGGCTGGATGGGGGAGAGGAGGCCTCCAGCGGCCCCGAGCAGGGCTTGCACTGACAGAGACACCAGCCTGGGCCTCCTAGGGCTCAATGAGGGTGTCCCCTCCATACTCACTGGCGCTCCCAGCTCCTGCCTGGCCCCCAAGCCCACGGCCTCCTGGCTGTCCCGGGCTCCCCCACAGCATGTGGCCCCCACATACCTCCTTGTCCGACAGCTCCCCCACAGCCTGGCCAACCCCCATTCACACCTGCTGTAACTCACTCTGGGTTCTGACGGAGACCAGTGGTCTGAGCACACGGGGCCGTGTGTCACAGAGAACTGGGGTTTGGGGAATTCTTTATGAGTCTGATGACACTTCAGCTTGAAAGGCTTAAAGCATTCAATAGAATTGCTCTTATGGGATGGGACAGCCCCAAGGCTCCAGATGCCCCCGCCCGGAGACAGCTTTACTGCTAGACAGCCCAGTTGAGACCCAGGAGGCTCACAGGGTGGTGCTCTGGGGCCCTGCAGAACCTGGTTTCCTGTGTTTTTCGCTGCAGTTTTCCTTAATGGTGACCTTCCCAGAGGTGCCCCTGGGCATCTTCCTGTTCTGTGTGTGCGTGATCACCATCGGGGCCGTGCAGGTAGGGCCCTTGCCTGCCTTCCCTCCCCACGTGCTGTCCTTTTGGAGCACACATTGTGCACATGTCCTCAGGAGGCTGTGGCCTGCTGGCTGTAGTGAGAGCTGTGCAGACAGGGTGCCCACTTGGAGTGCCTGTTGGGGCCACAGCCAGATGAGTTGAGATGCTCAGAGCCTGTGCTTCCTGTGCTGACTTGAAGAGAGAGTGAAATGGGGCCACCCTGCGTCCTCAGGTGCTTGGCAGGGTGGGGCGGCCCTGAGACCCCCCCCAACATGTGGCCTCAGGAGCAGAGCAGGGGCTTCTTGTCCCCTCTCCACCCCAAGAACATCCCATTGTGAGCCTCACAGCAGAACCCTGCCTCTCTGGGGGGTCCCCACCCGCGGCCCCTGCATGTGTGCATGGGAGGAAGGGGGCACTGGTCAGAGGCCTCTGCTCGTGCCCTGCAGCCCACCTCTCCCACAGGCGCTGATCGTGGTGTATGCGTTCCACTTCCCCCACCTCCTGAACCCCCAGATAGAGCACTGCGCCCACAGGGCCCTCTACCGGCAGCACATCCTGGGCATCATCCTTCGGGGCCCGGCACTATGCTTTGCAGCGGCCGGATTCTCCCTGTTCTTCTACCCAGCGGTGAGTGGGGGAGCGGAGGAGGGGAGGGTGACTGTGTTGGGAGCAGACGCCCCAGGAGGGTGGGAAGGGGGTGGCACACTGAGGAGCCAGCCAGCCTTGTGTGGGGGAGGGGCAGGGCTGTGCCAGGGTTGCCCAAGGGCCACCAGGCAGCCAGTAGTTTGGCGCCCAAGGTGCCCAGGAGCACAGCTGGAGGGAAGAGGCCCTGGGACCTGCCCTCAAGGTGAGGAGTCGCTACCCTCGGAGCCAGGCCCAGTGAGAAAATGCACCGTCCAAGGAGGGACAGGGCACTGACAGCTGTGACTCACCCCATGATTCCCCAAGCGGGCAAAGCTTTAAGACTCAAGGGCACCTGGAGTGGGCTTTGCTTGTTCTTTTGGTGGACGAGGAGCCTGCATGAAGCTGCCAGAGCAGCCCACAGCACGTGGCCTCTGGGTGGGGTCAGAGCCACCATGCCCTGACGAGGGACGCCCCCCAGTCACCTCAAGAGACACCATAGCAGGCAGGGAACCAATGCAGGTGGACGTCGTGCCATCCTGAGGATGCACGCGGGGAGGAGCCACCCAGAGAGGGAGAGAAAGCGAAGGAAGAAAGTTCCAGAACTAGAAGAGGAAGCTGGAGAAGTGGAGAAAACAGGAGGGAAGCCGTGAGCAGAAGGCGCCCCGGTCTGGAGCCCAGGAAGCTGAGCCCGGATGAGGCCCAAGTGGAAACGGGAACATGACGGCAGGGTGGTAGTCAGCACGCTTCTGTCCCTGGCGACAGTTCTGTGGGCTCCGCACTGGTCCCTTACAGCACGAGGCAGCTCCGAGCTGTCCTGGCCCAGGCGCAGAGGTCAAGGTCAGCTGATGCCCCTTTTGAACCGCAGCTGATTTAATAGGAACATCGTTCTGGTGACGCTTCCGTCGTGCTGGGAGGAGGGGAATGGTTGTGGCTGCTGCAGGTGGCCCCATGAGTAAAGAGGACTCGCACCCGGAGCGTCACTCGTCATGAGAAAACAAGTGGTGGCTGTCCTAAACGTCTAGTAAGCGTTTCAACAGAATTTCAAGTTTGAAACAAACAAACAGGCAGGGGAGGGCCGCAGAGCATCGTCCCTCGGGACAGAGTGGCCGGCGGGTCAGCCCAGGGTGGGTGGGGAGGTGGATGCTGGCGTCCTGGGCAAGGGGCAGCCTCGGCCTCTGTTCACTTTCCTCAGATGTGAGCGTGTTCCTCCTGGCGGGAGGGCTGCTGCAGGGCGCTCAGGCTGGGCAGGGCGTCCTCGCCCATGCCTACAGCGAGCGGTCCCCAGTGGACAGGGCGGGGCCAGGGAGGGGATGCACTGAGAGACGGAAGGACAGGTAAGGGCAGTGGGCTGAGGCCACATCCGAGTCCTGATTTCAGGAAGGACTCTGTGCCCGTGGTCGTGGATGGCGGGAATTGTTTGGACGAAGGCCGGGGCCGGAGGGACGATGAGGGCCGTCATGCGGAAGATCAAGGGGACAGCTGGGATGTGCGGGCGGCCTTAGTGAGGAGGAGTGAGTAAAGCTGAGGCCTGCAGGGGCCGTGCCCTCGGGCAGGGCCTGGATGCTGGACTCTGGAAGGACTGGGGTGGGTGGGCCCTGGAGTCTGAGTCAGGAGCCTGGGCTGGGCAGGTGGTGCCCAGTGTGCTGGGGGCCCAGCAGGCGCCTGGGCAGTGACCGTGCCCTGGTGGACGATGGCATCGGGGGAGGAGGGTCCTCGGGGGCTGGGAGGTCCCGAGCAGTCAGCAAGCCTGTAAGCGCTCCATGATGGAGCAGTCAGTTCTGTCCACCTCCCCCAACAGAACGGTCAGTTCTCTTCTTTGCTGCATTCTTCACCTCTTTCTCTCTGTTCCTCCTCCCCTGCAGTGGGGGTCGGACCCCTCGACCCCTCACCTCCACTCCTTGCCTCCTTGCCTGGGGCCCCACGCTCATCACCACCTGTGAGACACTCGCCAGAGCTTCCTGACCCCCCTGGCATCCCCTGCAGCCTCCCAGCAAGCCCACGGCCCCCATCCTCCCAGGTGTCTTTGCCACACCCTTCCCTCATCTGGGACGCTGTGCTGGGTCCACCCTCCAGGTCCAGCCCCTTCACACTGCCCTGGTCCAGGCTGTCCTGACCTCCCCCCAGTCCACCTTCCTCCCACGGTGACACTCACAGGTCCTGGGAGCTCTCACGCCAGCACCCAGCAGCCCGCACCTCCCACCTGCCTCCTCAAGGACTGAGGTTCTCTCTTGCACTGTTCCATTTCCTCCTTTTTTCCTCCTATTCTGTAGCACCATCTCCTGCTTACCCTGCAGTGGTCACCGTCTGCGTCCTTCTAGAATCTTTTGCTTTTACCTGTCATGCGCCTGGGAGGTGGCTCCCTCACTGTGTGTTTGTTGAATGAGGTGTGTGGTCCCGTGAAGCGGGGAGACTGGGTTATAAACAGACCTCTCCCCCCACCCCATCTGCGAGGTGCCCATTGCCTCCCTGAGTTGTACATCATGCATCAGGTGACCTTGAAGTACTTGGTGTGCAGGACAGAGGGGAGGGAGCCCTCCACTGAGGGCAGGGCGGCTGGGGTACAGGCTGCACTGTGGGGGCGCAGCAGCCGCAGGGTGACCAGAGCCTTCGTGGGACTTGCTCGCCTGCACCAGCCTGAGGCCCGCACTTAAGAACCCAGAGCAAGGGCACCTACTGCAGGCGGCTGCCTGGGGACCCAGGAGACACTACCGGCCGCCCTTCTTGTCCCTTTTTAAATAATCTGGTATAACATAAGATTTACCATTGTGACCACTTTAGAGTGCAGCTTTGTGGCACTGATGTCATTCACGTTGCTATGCAGCCATCGCCTCTGTCTGGTTCTAGAACTTTTTATCACCCTGCACAGAAACCCCATCTCCATTGGCAGTCACTCCGCATCTCCCTCCCTGTAGTCGCTGGACACCACTGTCCTACTTTCTGTCTCTAGATTTGCCTGTTCTGGTTATCTCATATAAGTGGAATCACAAAACATGAGGCTTTTGTGACTGGCTTCTTTCACTCATAACGTTTTCAAGGTTCGTGCACACTGCAGCACCTCAGTGCTGCGTCCCCAGTGGTCCCCGTGTGGATGGACCTCGTGCTGTTTGTCCTTCGTCCATCCGTGGACTTGCGGGTCGCTTCCACATCTCAGCTGTCGTGAATAGTGCTGCAGTGAACGTGGGTGTACAGATCTCTCTTCAGGACCCTGTTTTCAATTCTTTCGGGTGTCTACCCAGAAGTGGGATTGCTGGGTCACATGGTAATTCTGTTTTCATATTTTTGAGGACCCTCCATACTGTTCCTCATGGTGCTGCACCGTTTTACACGCCCAGCAGTCCACAGGGTCCCTGTTTCCCCACGTCCTCGCCAGCACTTGCTGTTTCTGGTCTTCTGAGAGTGGCCGTCCTCCTGGGAGTGAGGTGGCATCCTGGGGTGGTTTGGATTTGTGTTTCCCTGATGGTTAGTGATGCCGAGGATCTTCTCATGTGTTTATTGGCCATTTGTGAATGAGAAATGTGTCCTCCGAGCTCTGCCCATTTCTGCATGGGGCTATCTTTCTTTGTGGAGGTGTGAGGTCCTCTCCATGTTCTGGATCCTGGACCCTTACCAGGGAGGTGGTTTGCAGACATTGTCCCCATCCTGCGAGTCGTCTCTTCGCGTTCCTGATGATGCTCTGCCATGCAGACATAGAACTCACCTGTTTTTTCTTCTGTGGCTCATGCTGCCCTCCTTTCGCAGCCCCTTGCTTCAGGGTAGGATTCTGGCTCCAGCCCCCTTCGGAGGAGGCATCATGCCCCCCTGACATGTCGTGTGTCTCCTGCAGTCGTACCTGCTGATGGCGATGGTCATCTTCCTCCCCTACTTCAGCAAGGCCGCCAGCTGGTGCAGAGGCAGGCTGGTGGGTAGGTGCCGGTGGGCTGGCGTGTGGGGCCTTGGCGCTGCTTCCAGAGCCTGTGGAGCAGCTGCGACCACCAGGCATCCCTGCGGGGTCCCCTCCTCTGGCCTGTGGGCTCCCAGCCCCCGAGGGCTTGACCAGTTCCTCCCTCCTGGTATATCCACAGGCCCCCCGGAACTCCCAGCTCCCAGCGTGGAGTTCTTCACTTTCGACCTGCACGAGCCTCTCAGCAAGGAGCGGGTGGAGGCCTTCAGCGACGGGGTCTATGCCATCGTGGCTACTCTCCTCATCCTGGACATCTGGTGAGGACCACACTTGGGCCGCCTCAGGCTTGATGGAGGGGGTCCCCGGCCTGCCTCTCTGCGAAGTGTCTCCCATCCTCCAGTCCCACAAAGGCATGAGGTCTCCTGGTGCCACCTCCCCCGGAGGAGGAGTCCCACCCGGGGCAGAGCTCCCAGAGCCGGGGGTCTCCCTGCCAGCAGTCCCCACCTGTGAGCAGGGCCGGGGCGGGGCACGCCAGGGAGGGTCCCTGTCCTGTGCCGCATCTGTCTCCCGCCCACATCCTCCGCTCTGCTTTGGCCTCATCCCTTCCCTTCACTGTTCGCTCCTCTGCTCCGCCTGACCCACCTCTTCCGTCCGTCAGCCTTCTGATCTTAGGTACTGTGTTTTTATTTCTGTGCGTTTTATTTGCTGCTTTTCCAAACTTTCCATCCTTTTTGACAGTCGTATTTCAGTGCGTTCCTATTGCATTACATGTCAGAGCACTCTGGTTCACGTTCCCTATCTGATAATCTGAAGTCTCGATTCTCTTAATTCTCTTGGTAGCTTTTTCCTACTGTGACTTGAGAATTCTTAAAAATTGGGAGCGAACGTTCATGGATACTGATCTCTGAGCTAGACCTAAGCCCTGCAGCCAGGGCCACACTATCTTGGGCCCCTCGCCGAGTAGCTGCACAGAGTGGCTGCAGTTAGGGACCGGGGGGGTGGCATCTTCCCTCCACCCAGAGCCACAGCCACCCTCCCTGCCAGCCCCAAGGACCCGGGTGGGGGTCTCCAGGCAAGCCCCGAGGCTGTCTCCTATCTCCACCTTCAAACCCTCGAAGTTCCAGCTCCCCCCACACACATGCAGCTGCCGTTGTGAGGACAGTGTCTCAGGCTGCACCCCCCCTCAGTGATAAGAGGACGCCACCACTGTGCGCTCTGGGCTGTGCAGTTGGGGGCAGTAGCCCCCACGACCCCCATGAGAGGGAGAAGCCAGGGAGCCGGCTTTTGCTCAGAATTGCTCTTTACAATAAAGTATGGCCCTGGACTCTGACAACTATGGAGGCAAGCCCCCCTCAGATCTGCAGAACCACTCCCCAAGTGGACAGGCAGCTGCAGGAGGGTGGACAGACCACACAAGCCTACCCTGGGGTCTCGTGGGCAGGGCTGCCACTTAGTGACGAAGAGACAGGATGCAGTTAAGTTTGAGCTTCAGATGAATGACACAAAATTGTTTAAAATACTAGGTGTGTAAATAGACATAGTAAAATGAAAACTCGTGTGCTGAAGTCCACGTCATTCATCTGAAATTCAAGCATGCCAGGGGCCAGGTGGCCTTCACGGCTCGGACAGGGCGGGGCTGCAGCCCTGACCAGACACCCTGTGGTGAGGCTGCCACCAATGCCGTCTGTTCAAATCCCCAGTGAGGACAACGTCCCGGACGCCAAGGACGTGAGGGAGAAGTTCCAAGGCAGCCTGGTGGCAGCGCTGAGCGTGTATGGGCCGCACTTCCTGGCGTACTTCGGCTCCTTTGCCACAGTGGGCCTGCTCTGGTTCGCCCACCACTCACTCTTCCTGCACATCCGAAAGGCCACACAGTCCATGGGCCTGCTCAACACACTCTCGCTGGCCTTCGTGGGTGGCCTCCCGCTGGCCTACCAGCAGACCTCGGCCTTCGCCCAGCAGCCCCGCGACGAGCTAGAGAGCGTGCGCGTCAGCTGCGCCATCATCTTCTTCGCCAGCATCTTCCAGTTTGCTATCTGGACCACAGCCCTCCTGCATGAGAGGGAGACACTGCAGCCCTCCGCGCGATTTGGGGGCCGGGAGCACGCGTTCATGTTTGCCAAGCTCGCACTGTACCCCTGTGCCAGCCTGCTGGCCTTCGCGTCCACCTGCTTCCTGAGCAGGTTCAGCACAGCCATCTTCCACCTCATGCAGATCGCCGTGCCCTTCGCCTTCCTGCTGCTGCGTCTCCTTGTGCGCCTGGCCCTGGCCGTCCTGCGGGCTCTGCGTGGCCTCCGCCTGCCAGAGCCTGGGGGCGAGGATGACTCGAGGGCCCCACTCCTCCCTGCTGCCTGCTAGCTCGAGGTCCCACCCACCCCAGCCGGAGGCCCAGATGTCAGCCCAGTGGCCCGAGCTTGGGTGCTCCTCTCATCGTGACATTTTCTGTTCTACTCAGTCCACAGGCGGCTCTCCACTCCTGCAGAGGAGCTTCACAGCTTTGCGTTGCTGTTGTGCCCATCTCTGTCCCCCAGGCCCACATCCTGTCTCCGTCAAGCTAAGACAAGCCACATGGGGGCTGGCATTCAAGTGTTTGTTTCCAGGGGCAGCTGGGGCGCCCACAGCCTCGGCCTTCTGGGGGCGTGGGTGCAGATGTGGCCCTGGGTCCTTGACAGGCAGTGCAGCATCCCTGGATGTGGCTCAGCTCACTGTGGCCCACCGCCTCAGCATGCAGAGCTCCCTGGTGGCTGCTGGGCTGCCAAACCATCCCTCCTCTCACTCTGGTCATTAGGCACAGAGAGGGACAAGAGCAGCAGGATGGCAGTGCCCAGACTGTATTGTCCTGGATATAAATTATGGTCACATTCAGGTATAAGTTACACACGAGGGACAGCGCAGAGCCCACGCAGCCCCACCTAGCACACAGATTTGCTTAAATACAGAGGACAGACACCCTAACCACAATTTACAGACAATTCCTATAGACGGAAATCAACAGCAGGGCCTGTAGAGCAAAAACTAATTACACCACTGGGGACTGGGGGACGCGACCACGAGGAATGTGCATCTGTGTGCGGGAGGCACGTGACAAGAACATCCACCACAAATGCTGTTACAGTGCATTGGTTTGTGCGGTTTTGGCAGAAGCTTTTGGGGCACAGGGCTGGGCGGGGCCTGACCTGAGGTTGAAACCAAACTCAGGGCAAAGCCGTGGCTGAGGGGTGTGAGGGCCCAGCCCGGCTGGCAGGTGCCAGGCAGAGGGGAGAACTGGGAAGGGTGAGGATTCGTGAATCCCTCCTTTGGGGCCCTCAGGAGACCTCCCAGGCAGGTAGTTCAGGTTTGGTCAGGGTCCTCCTGGGATCTGAGGTGTGACTCTGGGCTTAGGGGAGACGTAGTTGCCAGCAGCCCACCCGGCAGCCTTGTCCCACATCCCACGTCCCACAGTGCTGGGTCTCCACGTGGAGAAGCACTGAGCCCGCAGAAGTCCCATCTGCTGAGCGGACACTGGCAACTGGCACGTTGAGTGATGGCAAACAGAACACAGAGTGCTGAGTAGATCCTGGGGTGATTAAAGCTGGCTCCTCCACACTTCACTCCACTACCTTCCTCTGGGCCTCCAGGGCCCCGGCTGGTGTGGGTTTGCTTCTGGTCCCTTCCAGGCGCACTCTTCACAATGGTGGCCAAGCCCACCTGGCCCCCCTCTCCCCAGGTGCAGCCCTGTCACTCTGGCGCCACCAGCCAGGGTTGGGACGAGGCCCAGCCAGCTGCCTGGGCCCTGCATCCCATGCAGCTCGCCTGCGGTGACGAGCAGCAGAGAAGGCACCTTCTGCCCAAGACACACAGCAGGTGGCCCCACCCAGCCCTCACTGGTGAAGCAAGGCCAGAGGAGCTAGTGGCTGGGGCATCCTGTGTCTGTGCTGGGCACACCCAGAGCCCACGGAGCCAGCTGCTGTGTCAGAACATCCAGGGGGATGGCCTGAGGAACACAAGATGAAGTCCAGCACCACCCAGCTGGAAGGGCTGAGGGTGGTGGGGGACACAAAGGGAGGAGTGCCCCTCCTCCAGGGGGCGAGCGGACTGGCCAGCTGGAACCCTGTGCCCACCCCAGTCACTGGTGTGGAGACAGGGGAGGAAATGCCTGCTACCCACCCAGCAGTTTCCATGGGGCTCGGGGACAAGGGGGAATCGCCCTGAGTCAGGGCTGCAAGGAGGTCCATCCACCTGCCAGCGCTGCTGCAGGACGGGCACAGGCTGCTCCAGTACCCTCCTCTACCTGGGGTCCCCCCTAGGGGTATAGGCACCCCATCTGCTCAGGCGTCCTTGGGGGTCCCGGCCTTCCTGGGCTTCTGCTTGGCCTTCCTGAGCATGTGGACCTGTCCCGGGGCAGGGGAGGTCAGAGGACTGGGTGACACAGTGGGCCACCTGGCTCTGGGACCCCAGGACGCCCAACGCCATCCCACCCCATTTACAGAAGAGAAGGAGCAGGGTGGTTGCCATGACTGCAGCTTGTGGGGAGGGAGCTCAAGCCTGACCATTGTCCAGCAGCCACCCCTCCCCTCTGAGGCCCCAGGGGGAACCTGTGACCCGGAGTTGGGGAAGAACCAGCTGCAGCAGGACTGCCCATGCACCAGGGCCATGCTGGCCACTCTGTATAGCCGAGACCTCCCAGCACTGAGCCCACCTCATCACTGGCTCTCTGGCCCCTCCTGGCTCACCCCACATTGGACATACCTTTGGGCCCACAGCTGAGATGATCATGTGCCCAGGACCCTGGACCCAGGGCTCACCATCCACCTGCACAGGTGTGGCTTTGAGCAGGGTGACACGGAAGTAGGAGCCCTGGGCGATGCGGATGCCAGAGCGCAGCCCTCCCTGGACCTGGCCCTGCCGGAGAGCACCCTGGGCTCAGTGGGTCGCAGCACCACACCAGCCCGGCACCCCCGGCCCTCCCACTCACCATGTGCATGACACCCGTCACCCCCACCACCTCCAGCAGCCCGTCATCCATGCGCGGCTTCTCAAACCTCGAGTCGCTCTCGGAACCCCACAGGTCAGCCCCCGACCCCCAGCTGTGCAGAGAGGGGTAGGAAGGTAAGAGGGCAGGCTGGACGAGGGCCAGAGCCCCACCCGAGGCCAGAGTGCCCGGGAGTCCACCGCTGGCACCTGGGGATGTTGATAAAGATGAGGCCCTCGATGCTGGGCAGCTCCACCTGCTGCTGCTCCACCTGCAGCCGGATCTCCTTGTGCAGGCTGCGTGAGTGGCTGATCTTCTGCAGCCCGACCCGCACATACACACCCTTGTTGTGGAACCTGCAGAAGGGGGACATGTCTGCTGTCACAAGATGGGGCCCTTGCCCAGCCTAAAACAGACCCAGGTTGGAGCCCCCTCCACCACTTCCTGCTGGTGAACCAGCAGGAAGTGCAGAGTGCCATCACCAGGGGGCAGCCCCTGCTTTGCCTAGAGCAGCCCCAAGCTCCTGTTCTTACTCTTCTCGCACCTGCTCGTGAACTTGCCGGGCTCCTCCTCCCGTGCCTGGTGGAAGTCCAGGCTTAGCTCTGCGTCGATGCCAATCCCACAGTAGTTACTCATTTGCACAATCTGGGTCAAAACATGTTCCCATGTGGCCCCGTCAGCCCTGCCAAGTGCTCCCCATGCCCCAGGCTGTGTCCAGCCTCCTTGTCTCCAACCCAACTCCGCTGCCATCGTCAGAACTGCTTCTGTCTGGTGACCACCCTGCTTAGTAACTGCCAGTGGCCAGGGGGGACAGCGTGGCACACGGGGCAGGCAAAGGTCTGAGCTAGGTAGCCCTGGGCTTGCCACCCAGAAAGTCACTGCTTTGTGCCTCAGCTTCCCCATCCGTAGAGGGGATGGCACTGGCACCCACGCCAGAGTGTGGCCGGGACAAGGGCAAGTCCCTAGACGGATGTGGTAAAGAGTCACCTGCAGGGGGCCCAGCGGTGCCATACCCTCACCCAGCACATGGGTACCTTGGGGGGCTCCACATCTGCCACACTGTTCTCCGCACCAGTGGCCTCGTGAGCATCCAGCAGAATGGTCCAGCGGTCCATGAGCACAGCATCTGCCTCATCCACTGATACCAGCACGGAGAAGGGGTCCTCTCCACTGTAGCCCGCCCCCCAGCGGAGGACCCGGCCAAGGTCATTCCCTGGGACACGGGCAAGATGCACACTGACTGTCCACACCCACCCCCCCACCCTGGGCCTCAAGTGAAACTTGGGCAAGAAGGGATAAACCCTACTCGCCAGCTGACCCACCTGTGCCCAGGGGCAGGATGGCCACAGAAGGCTCCGGGCAGGCCAGATGGTGCCGCATCTCCTCCAGGGCAGCCAGCACCCAGCCCACGGTGCCATCCCCACCGCACACCAGCACCCGGAAGCAGGGCAGCTGGGAGAACACGTGAAACCTGGCGAGAGGGAGACAGGAGGTGTCCTGCCACAGCCACGGCCATGCAGGTGCGCAACAAGTGGGTGGGGAAATCGCGACCCTGGGGCAGAGCAGGCCGCAGCTCATCCCCCATCCAAGGCAGCCCGTGAGGGTTCCATACCGAACCCCAACCTGTTCCCACCGGCCGTCGGCAGGTGTGTATGGGCCCCCCTCGGGTGCCTGCCAGGCTCCGTTCAGTGTGGCAGAGGCTTGCCGGACTCACCCGGGCAGAGGCCCCCCGTTGGTCAGCTCAAAGACCTGGTGGGGGTTCAGCAGCTTCCGGAAACTGCAGAGCAGGTCACGGCCCTTGAGGCCTCCGCTTCTGGGGTTCACAAACACGAGGAGGGGGCGGCAGTCTGGGGGCAGCTTCGTGTGCTGGCAGATGGGGCGGGTCAGAGTGTGCTCCCAAGGCCACCCTTTGTGCAGAGCCGGTGTCTCCCCACCCTACTGCCCAGGCAGGGACCACCCCCCACCCTGAGCCCACCTGGCCTGAACCAGCCTGGGGCCAGCCCCTCCCAAGGAAGGCACACACGAGGGGCTGCATGGCCATCACTACCTCGCCACAGACCACTCGGGGCACCGCCATGGCAGAGGGACGCCCATAGGCCACTGGCCAATGGGGCAGGGAAGAGGCCGGCCGGCCTGGAGCTCTAAGCACACAGGCCCTGCCACAACCACAGCGACACAGGGCCCCAGACTGCAGCCTCTGCCTCATCTACACAGCTAATGCGCCTAGGTAGGCAGGAAGCCCACGCGGGACCCCACCTGCCCCTCTGAGTCACCTGGCACACACCCTGGGGGGACCACACACCCGGGAGGAACTGCAACTCCAGGGCCCCCAACCACCCACGTAGCAGCTGGGAGGACAGCCCAGTTCACAGGGTGGCCCCACGTGTCCCCTCAGCCTCTGGACGAGGCCCATCCTCCCACACACAACCCCCAAAACACAGTGCCCAGGAGACAGTGAGCAGGGGAGCTGGGTCCCCACAACGGTGAGGTGGGGGGTCTAGAGTCCCCATGATGGGGGTTGCTAGGTGACAGAAAACAGACAAGCTTGGCACAGATACAGTGGAAAGTGGCCGTGGCTCGAGGCCGAGGACACATGGGGTGACATGTGGCCCACTGGGCAGAGCTGCCTGCAGTCACCACTTACCTGCTCACCCCGGGGCAGGCAGCTGACAGGAAAGAGAAAGCGCATGTTGGCATCGCCTGCCAGCTCTGCCCACGGGCCAGCTGCTGGGGCCCTGCCCTGCAGGCACTGCGTCCTCATTAGGATGGAGGTATGGCCACCCTGTCCTGACTTGGGCAGGACCCACCTTCTCCACCTGGCTTGGGTGGGGATGGGGCATCCAGGACCTGTAGGTGTCACCCACCCAGCCACAGACTCTATGCCCATCTGCTCTAATTCTGCTCCGCCTGGACGGGGGTCAGTGGTCAGGGTCAGGGGTCAGGGGCAGAGCAGCCATGGACACCTCGAGGGGCCCTGGGGCCAGCAGTGCCAAGGACCAGAGGCTGCAGTGAAGGCACAGGGCAGGGGTGGGACTCTGGCCCCTCCCCTCACCCTGACCACAGCAGTGCCCTCGAGACGCCCACTTTTGCCCTGTGCCAGCCGCCAGGCGCCCAGCATCCCAGGCAAAGAGCACCACCTACTGGCCAGAGGTGGTCGGGGCACAAGCAGAAGTCCCAGGGCACCTGCACGGGGGAGAGGTGCCAGGGCCCAGCAGGACGCTGCCTCTGCGGTCCTTGGCCTGTCAGCTGCCATTGCAGGCCTCCAGCGGGGACCTCAGGCACCCCCCTCTGTGTAAATCAGACCGTGTGCGGCAGACTTCGCTCCAACCCCAGAGCGTTAAACAAACCAGCTGTGGAGGCCACATCCCCCTAGTGCCCACCCCGGGCCCACTCACCAGCACATCAGGGAGCACCAGGGCAGTCAGTGGCCGGCCATGCACAACTGTGTCCTTGACCAGCATGTACAGTCGCTCAGCCTCTGCGAAACAGGCCACGCCCAGCACCACTGCACCTGTGGCAGGTGGACCGTGAGCTCAGGTCGGGGTCTTGCCACCCCCTAGCCAGAACGGGCTCCACTGTAGCTGGCCTCAGGTCAGCCCACCCAAGGGTGTCTACCCGGTGCGACTTCTCCCCCCAGGGAGCCTTCAAGGATGGCCGAGCTGAGAAACAGGACATGGTGGGTGGACAAGAGCGAGACCACCATGAGGTGGGGAGGGGTGGCCTAGGACCCACGGCGGGGGTACGCCCCACAAAAATGGAGAACGCTGCTAACTGCTGAGGACCCACAGAAGGGACGCAGGCTCACAGTCTGTCCTGCCACTTGTGGGCAGATGTGAGGTTTTCTGTGATAAAAGACATGAACCCATGGGCAGAACGAGCAAGGAGGGAATGTTTTCTGGGCCTCAGTCACGTTTTAGCAAAAGCATCGCAGCCGTGAGCCAAAAAATGCACTCAAACGGTTCCCTGCACGCGGCCCCAGAGAAAGGTCAGGTCCCAACAAGGAAACACAGCAGCAAAGGGTGGGGGGCTCCTACTCTAACTCCAGCTGTGGCCTGGGATGACCCCTAGGGGGCTCACCTTGAGAGGAGTAGACGTGGCTCACAGACACCAGGCCCGCTGCAAAGACAGGCTGGGTCAGGGAAGCAGGACACGCAGCACAGAGGCCTGGGGCCTGACCCCCCCAGGCCTCCGACTCCCTCCCTCCAGGCCCTGACCTCCCCCCAGGCCCCTGACCCACCCACTGGGATGCTGCCCTCACGGCCATCCACACTCAGGCAGCCCCCACCTCCTACTCAGGGTAACTTCGCACAACCCAGCAGGGCCAGACCCCAGGAAGTGCCTGCCCCGTGCCAGGGCCAGGGCAGAGAGGCCAGAGGCTCAGAAGTCCTCCTCAGAGGAGGGGATGCAGTCAGAGCCCCAGAGGTGAGGACAGAGGGTCATGTGGCAAGAAGCATCTGGGCGAAGGCTCGAACAGCAAGGGGGCAGAAGGACCCAGGACTCGACCTCAGCACAGCAGCCCCAGGGCCTGCTCTCAGGCCCCGCTATGTCCCTGGCAGCCAGGAGCCCAGCCCGGCCCAGGCAGTCACACCTTTGGTGGCCACAGCCTCGTCCAGCAGGCTGCTGTACTCCTCGGAGGATAGGCCAGGTGGCAGGCCACCGACAAACAGGGAAACGTGGGGGGCCAGGGCCCTGCCCTCCACCACGTAGAACCGCGTCTGGCTCATCTGTCGCAAGGACGTCTGCAGGGAGAGGGGCAGGGGGCACTGAGCAGAGCCCCAGGGGTGCCCGGCCCACCCTCCCCATCTGGGAAGGGGCCGCTGGAAGAGTCCCCAGGAGGAACAGGCCAAGATGGGGAGGGGAGAAGGGGAAGAACTCACAGGTGGCCTCCCTCAGGACAGGCCCCTCCACTCCCCTCAGGGACCCCACCTCCCAGGAGCAAGTGACAAGTTAGGAAGCACTCAGATCCACCAGGCCCAGGAGAGGCACTGCCAGCCAGGAGGGTCAGCTGCCCACCAAGGTGGACGTGAGGTCCAGGGTAGACTCTCTCTCCACGAGGTGGAGGCCATGGCCAAAGTCCAGCAGCTCCCCAGGGACCAGCATCCACACCCACTGACCTGCCGGATGTCTCGAAGCCGGTCAAGCAGGGGCTCCTCATCTGCCATCACCGTCCGCTGGACTACAGGGGCGAGAGGCATGGCCTATCAGCACCAGGTGCCTTGCTCACCTCTGCAAATAGCTGCCCTGAGGCCCAGGGCACCAGGAGGCACACCACTCAGGACATTAGCTGCAGGATGCCCACTCACCTTGCCTGCTGCCCATGAGCACCTCCACCAGCTGGAAGCTCTCAGCACCCTCGGCCTGTGGGGGCAGGGTTTGGGGCATAAGACCTGGACCAGTTCCTCCACCCTCCTCAGGACACCCAGCCAGGGCGGCCACACCAGAGGTGGGACAGCAGCCTGGCCCAGTGGGCTGGCCAGCACCAGGGTGGGCCCAGTGTACACACCTGGCATCCAAGCAGTGGGAGAACCTCCAGCACCACGGTCCGAGCAGTGCTCTGTGGGGTCACACGGATGGACACGTAGGCCACACCCACCCTGCAGGGGACAAGCTCAGGAGCTCTGGTCAGGCGGCCCGCCCCCTCCCGACTCCCGCAGGCAGACCCTGTGCCTCCGCCTGGGCCTCACTTGAGCCAGGCAGGGTAGATCTTCAGGACCTCCTGAGGGCGGGGCAGAGCGCGGATGATCCAGGCCTCAGACACAGCCTCGAGGGACCCGGGGCCTTGGCTGCCCTCCTCCTCTGCAGACCCGCCACTCCGGGACTTTCCCCGGGCCCCGGTTTCGCCAGCCTGTGCAGGTGCGGGGAGCACCTGCAGGTCGAAGTTGTGAGGGTCTTCCGTGATGTAGTAGGCCCGCAGCGCTGCCTCCTGCAGGGGAGGGGGCCAGGTGTGCATGGGCGCCGCAGCCATGCTGGGCACCACAACCCCCCAGGGATGGGCCTGCCACAGCCCCTGGGGGGCTCCCCGTTACCAGCAGCTCCTCACTCCTGGCCAAGCGCGGGACAGTGATGACACGGAAGTAGTTTCGCTGCACAGCGTCATTTCCATCAAAAATCCTCAGGGTCTGCTTGCCTGGGCCAGAGGGAAATGGCTGTGAATCTCTGGTGCTGGGGCCTGCGTGGGGGAGGAGGGATGGGGGAGGAATGGGATGCGGGAAAGAGGGACAGGATGAAGCACAGGATGGGGGACGAGGGACCGGATAGGGGGGCGGACGGGCACTAGGGACTAGGTGGGGAACGGAGCGGGGGTCCTGGCCGGGGCCTGGGCGACAGCTAAGCGGCACTTACCAGACTCTGGCGCCAGCGCCTCTCTGCCCGGGCCAGCGGGGGAGCTCGTGTCCACACCATCGTCCCCTTCGCCTACAGGACAGACACAGCGGAGTCTCACTCAGCGCCCAGCCCCCACCCCGCCGCCCGCCACTCCCGCCCCCGCCCCGCGCTCACCCGGCTCTGGGGTCACGCTCTCGGAGATGCGGAAGCAGTGCATCTTGCTGAAGTTGCGGGATAGCAAGCGCACGCACGCAGGGGGCAGGATCAGGGTTCGCAGGCGCCCGAACGTGCACTCGGGGGCGAGTGCCGTGGAGCAGACTGAGTGGGCCTGAGGGGGCACAGGCTTGAGCCTGGGGCCTCCGCGCAGGAGAGGCCGGGGTCCAGGCGGCTCTCAGTGACTCCACCGGGGCCCACGCTGAGCGCGTGGCCTTAACACTCTCCTCTGTACAACAGGAGCCCCCACCCCGAAAGAGAGCAACGCAGACAGCTCAGACGGACGGGGGGGGGGGCACCGCCACGCTCTCCACGCTGCTTTCCCACGGGACAATGCACTCGCCCCCTAGATCCCAGGCCCCACCCCACCTGCCCAGGGCCCCGCTCTGGCCACGCCCCACCCCACCCGCCCACCGCCCCCAGGCTCCACCCCACCTTCCTGCTGCCCCCCAGAGCCAGCCGCACCTGCACTCCGCACCACTCGCAGCGCACACCTGCCAGCACATCAGAGGAGCCGCACGTCTTCCTGCAGACCTCGCAGCGCGCGCCGGAGGGCAGGTTCCCCTCCCGCCAGTGGTGGTGGTGTGTGTCCTGCGGAGGGGGCCATCAATGAGTTCGCCGGGTCCCCCGTGCCCCCCAGCCCTCCAACCCCCCCACACTCACGTGGTCCCGGTGCCCGTCCCGGTGGCACTGGCGGCAGTCGCTGCAGGCGAAGGGCACACAGTCGGGGTGAACGTGCAGCTCACACACTGGGGGGCGGACAGGTTTAGGGGTCTCTCGCCGCTCCCCACGGCCCCCGCCGCCTTCTCGCCCGCCTGGGTCCCGCCCTCGCCCTGTCCAAGCTTTCTTTAACCTGCCTGCACCAGATGTGCCGGGCAAGGACAGCCCCATCCTCTCGGCGGGAGGGGACTGTCCGCCCCTGTCTCTCCCCGCCCAGCCCTCTTCAAGGCACAGCCTGCACCCCTGTGCCCCTGCACCGGCCTCCCCTCCACGAGCACAACTCTAGAACCACAAACGCCCGCCCCCAGGGCACCCCTCCGCCTCCTGCCCACCAACCCTGACCAGCACCCGGCCATGGGCAGGGATGGGCCACCCTGAGCGGCAGAGATCAGGGCCCTGGGAGGAGTGGAGGGGCTTGGCCCCAAAGGGAGCTGGCAGGCCCAGGCAGTACCTTCACAGCGCAGCGCGGGTGCCTCCAGGCCCCTGCGGCACACGGCGCAGAACTTGCGCTTGTACAGCGCCCGGGGTCCGAAGCAGTGGGCCACTGGGACCTGGAGGAAGCAGGGCACTGCCTCAGCCCAGGGGCTCCTGGCCAATCCCACTGCCCGTCCAAGTCCTGCAGCCAGACTTCCTCCACATCCCACACAGCTCCATCACCACCCCATGACACCTGCCTGACCCCTGCAGCAGCCCCAAATCCTCCTGAGCACTATTTACTCGGTGCTGTGGGTGCCCCTGAGGGGTCCTGCTGGGGGACTCCCCAGCATGCCTGCCTCCTCACTCTGCAGGACCAATGCTGGGCTGTTCCAGCCATGGTCTCAGGCAGCCCCTTCTGTGGGGGACATGCCTGCTCCTCTGCTGCTCAGGCCCCTACTGGTCCTGTCCAGGTCTGATCCAGCTGCACTGCCCAGGGAGCCCAGAGGAGATGGTGTCAGAACCAGAGGGGCGTGAGGCCTGGCTGCTGCCCTGGGAGGGGCTCACAGGCAAAAATGCAGTCAGCAGCTCGAGGACCCAGACCAGGACATCCAAGTCCCCCATGCTGGTCCCATGGCCCACCCCATCCAACCCGCCATCTTGACCCCCAGCCCAGGACCTGCCACAATTGCCAGCCTCCCCCACCCCCTGGCCCCTGCCAGCAGGTGCGGCAGCCATGCCCTTACGCACGCGGACCAGGCTGGGAGCCAGGGTCACACAGGGGATCTTCACATGCTTCAGGCACTTCTCATGTGACATGAAGTTGCAAACTGTGGGAGTGAGAGCTGCATGAGTTGGTCCCTGTCCTGCCCAGGAATCAAGAGACCCCAGGGCTTGGCATGCAGAAGGGAGGCCTCAGGCAGCAGGGCCACCAAGGACTGTGGTGGGTCTCCAGCGTTCTGACAGGACAGAGCACCCGTCACAGTGGGCCCACTCAGCCAGAGCCGATGGGGGGCAGTTCCAGGGGACAGAGGGAGGGCACGGCAAAGCCTCCCCCCAGAAGCACCATGGACACCCTGATCCTCTGCCCCACCCCACATCCCAAGACAGCCCAGAGCGGGGAGCAGGGGCCTGGGTGGTTCTGACTGTCCTGGATGACGGTGTGTCCTGGCATCCTGAAAATGGCCCCTGCCCCCCACATGCAGGCCCAGGTCTCCTTCCAGCCTCTGCAGTTGGCCCTCTGCAAGGGGCAGGCAGGTGGGCAGGTGGCATCCTGCCTTGGCCAGCTCCTGCATTTCTGCATGTCCCCCCAGACCAGCTTCGCCAAGCACACCCTTCCCTCACCACCCCCCCAACTGCACACACATGCTGTGTGCCTTCAGAGACACAGAGCCAGTCTGTGATGGGCCAGGACCCCTGAGGCAGGCGGGACAGCCAGCCCCGGGAGGGCTGCACCTGCCCTGCCCGCACCCAGAGGAGCAGACAGCCCAGAGGCTCTAAAGGCGGTGAGCACTCAGACGTGCCTGTGCTCCTGAGGCCCATGGGAGCAGCAAGGGGCACCCCACTCATCCTGGGGAGGCAGGGCAGGACTCCAGGAAGGGGGTCCCGGCAAGACTAAGCTCAGCCAGGAGACAAACCCAAAGATGGACAGGAGTGGGTGGCGGATGGGAGAAGCGGCTGGCGTGGCCTCTGGGGGCACACACAGCACTGGGGTGGGACGGGATGGACAAGGCTCCAGGGAGCTAGGAAGTGGGCAGGCGGCAGAGGAACACACTCCCCAACATAGCCTCAGGTGAAGACTGTTTGCCCGGGGACCTCGAGGCAGCCCTGTCCCACTGGCTGCAGCCCACCCCCCAGTCCCCAGACAGAGGCAGACGAGCTCCTACGGGCTGGCAAGAGCAGCCCTGAGGCCTCCTTCAGAAAGACCTCCAGAAGTGGGCTGGGGCCAGATGAGGTGGGCAGAAGTGGGGAGGCCCCCCCAGGCGCCCAACTCGCTCTGCCGCGGAAGGCAGCAGCTTTGGGCAGGCAGCACCCAGCTTCCTGCTCTGGCTGTAGAGATAGCGCCTGATCACCCCACACCCACATCCTGGGTGCTCCCTGGCAGGGCAGGGGGCTCCTCCTCCAACACCCTGGTCCAGCCCCTCTGCTGGCGGAGATCACCAGCTGTCACCCACAGAGATGGCGGAATGTGCACACAGCTGCCTGGCAAGGCCTCCACGTCATGCCCCCCACATCATGCCCCAGGCATAGCCTCTTTCCACGAGCTGCTTCACCCCAAGACCAGGCTAAGGGTTCTTGAGCCCCTCAGACCTGGAGCCCTGCATTCACTACCCCTCACCTGTGTGGGGGTCCTGGGCCTAGCCTCAGACCTGGCACTCTGCCTTTACCACCCTCACCTGTGTGGGGGCCCTGGGTCTAGCCTCAGACCTGGCACTCTGCCTTCACCACCCCTCACCTGTGAGGGGCTTCTGGGTCTAGCCTCGACCAGGCACTATGCCTTCACTACTCCTCACCTGTGTGGAGGTCCTGGGTCTAGCCTCAGACCTGGTGCCCTGCCATTACTACCCCTCACCTGCATGGGGACCCCGGGTCTAGCCTCAGACCTGGAGCTGACTCAGCCTGCACAAGTCTGTCTCCCACCTCAGGTGACCCTCGTGGCATTCCCAGGGGCCAGGCAGGCAGTGCAATATTTCTGATCTGACAGAGAAACCAGGGGTGACCAGCCCATGCCAGACGGCCAGGCCCCACGGTACAGCCCTGGGGGGTCAGGACGACCAGGCTATTTTCTCTGGCAGAAGGCATCCTGTGTGAGGGGTCCAGTCTCTGGTACCCAGACCCAGCCAGGCCCACCCTGAGACCCCAGCCTGAGTGGTCCGTCTGTCTCCAGAGCCGAAGGCCTGTCTCCCTGAGCAGGTCAAAGGTCCCACCCACCTGCCCTGCAGAAGGGAGCAGGACTAGAAGAAAGCAGACCCCGAAGCAGGCATGCGGGCTGCCCAGGAGCCAGAGGAGGGGGCGCCTCCTCGCCCCGCCGGCCAGCTTGGCACCAGGAGGGAGTCCTGTCTGGGCACGCCGCACTCCAGGCAGGCCCCGGCCAGCTCTCCATTAGTCTGAGCCAAGGCAGCGCCAGCACTCGCCCCTTGTGGGCAGCAGCGTGCACACAGGGCGAGAATGGACCGGCACCAGGGCACGGGAGCCAGGGCCCAGGCCAACCCTGCCTGGCCACGCCGCTGCCCCTTGCTGCCTCCTACCCAGCTGGGGTAGGATCCCACAGAAGGAGTCCCACCTGCTGCCGGTGGGCTGGCCTCATCCCCCAGTCAGGCACCTGCCCCTCGCTCACCCTGCCCCAGCGGCCCCCTCCCCGCGCTCCCCCCAGTGGACCCCAACCCAGGCGAGGAAGTCCAGGGAGCAGTTCTTTCCTTACACCCCACAGCGGTGGCGTGGAGGGGGGTACCGCGCGCGGGCTCCTGACGCCCCCAGGCCCCTGGAGGAGCGGTCCTCCTCACCTCCATGGCGAGGGCCTGGGCCGGGCATACTCCTGCCCCTTGGGGCCAGGGCTCTGTCCCGGGTAGGCCCCTGCTGGGACTGCAGAGGTCAGCGGGGAGGTGCCCGTCTGGGCCCGGGACGGGGTTTGCGAGGGGATCGTGGGCGCTCACCTTCGCACAGGAAGCCGGCCAGCCCCCAGATGAAGTCGGAGCAGAGGTGGCAGAAGGTGGGCTTGGTGAGCGTCACCTTCCTGAAGCTGTGGCCTGGCGCAGCGGGGCCCGGGGACCTGGCGCCCGCCCGCTCCGGCCCCGGCCCGGACCCCGGCCCCGGGCGCGCGCGGCCTCCGCCGCCCAGGTCGGGGCTGGAGGCCGGGCTGCCCGGGCGCGGGGAGCCGCTGCCGACCCAGGCGCGGGCCCCGGGGTCAGCCGTCGCCGCCATCCCGGGCCCGTGCCGCCCGAGCGCCGGCGGCAGGCGCGACCCGGTCCGCGCTCCGGGAAGCGGGGCTGCACTGCGGCGCCGACCCCGCTGTCCGCGCCGGGCTTCCGACTGCGCCCGCCGCCACTGCGCAGGCGCGCGCCCGAGGGGCGGGGGTCCGGAGGTGGGGGCGGGGCTTTGATGGGGCGGGGCCTGCCCCGGGGGCGGGGCCTGAGGCGGGAGGCGGGATCCGATTGGGGTACGCGTGCCGAGGACTGGCAGGCAGGGGTCCCACCGCTCACGTCTGGTCGTACAGGCCCCGAGCCGGGACCAGCCTCCTCGCGCGCGGCCGCCAGGCACCGCCGTGGGGCGTTTGCACCTGTGGGGCCGGCCCGCGCCTGCGCACACGGCCGCCTCCCACGGGGCACCCGGATCCAGCCCGCGGCTCGGGGTTCCGCCGGAGGACCGGGGAGTGCACGACGCGGCCCGGGGCCTCCGGGGGTCGGGGGAGGCGAAGGAGCTGGGGGTCCCGTTGGGCTCCCGGATGACGGGGGACCCGGGTGGGGTCCGAGGTGGAGGAGGAGGGCGCCGGAGCAGACTCGGGGCTGGAGGACCTGCCTCTCCGCGTGCCCCCCCCCGAGCCGTGCGTGGGCGGCTCCGTCCGCCGGGTGTTCGGACGCGTGGTCCTGCTCTGCGCGAGCGTCCCCAGATGCCCCGTCTCTGCCCTCACCACAGACGGAGGCTGAGGCTCCAGCCAGGGATGGCCAGGGCCTGCTGCCCGCCGGCGCGTTGCTCCTCCTCCAGTTCGCGATGGTCCCTAAGGGGAGCCCCCCCATCAGCTCTCCCGTGGGGAGCTCCAAGGCTGCTCCGCTCCCTCCCTGCCCTGGCCTCGGCTGTTGTCTGGCCATGTCGCGACTCTCCGCCAGGCTCCCTGGATCCCTCCCCGCTATGAGAGACCCACTCCTCCACACTCCCAGGGAAGGCAGTGAACGCCACCAGCCCTGCCGGGCAGGATGCACAGCTTCGTCTAGTCCAGGCGGCGCTAGGGACATGTCCACGCGGGTCGCCCTGCTCCTGTCGCCTGCCAGCGCTCCGGGTCCCTGCTTCTGCGGGCCTGACCGCGGATTGCAGTGCGCGTGGCCGGGCTGGGCGTCGCGGGCCAAGGGGCTTCCTGGGGACCCGCCAGGTCCCTACCAGTGTTTTTCTGGCTGCCCTCGTGCCAGGCCCCTGCCCCGGCAGGGCGAGCAGGGGCTGCAGGGCCTCGGGAGGGGGTGGCTCGGGCCGGTGCGGGGAAGGGCAGGACTCCAGGGCCCCAGAGGAGAAAAACCTGGCGGAGGACACAGCCAGGGAGGATAATGTCTGGGGGAGGGTGTAAAGACCACAAATGCTACGGAGGAAATGCCTGGAAGTGTGCTAGACCTGCTGGCAGGGCCCGCAGGGGGGGGGGGGGGGGGGGGGGGGGGGGGGAGAGTAGGCAAGGAGGGAGGGAGATGCTGCCTTTTGCACAGGGCGGCTCCCAGGAGTGGACAGCGGAGGAAGACAGGGTGGGACCAGGGACTGGGTCTGAAGACACCATGGATCCTGGGAAGGTTCATCAGTGTCCAGAAACTGCACTGAGCATCGGCCGCACACCTGGAGCTGAGTTCTGGGGCAGACAGACAGCAAACTGAAAAATAAACAGGCCCGGGAGACGCCGCTTAGTGTCTTGGTGCCACTGTGGATGGAGGCAGCCAGGACTGAGTGACCAGGAGGAGCTGGCCTGGCAGCAGAGAGCACATCTGGGTGGTGGGGGTCGGGGGAGAAGAGAGAGTGCAAAGGCCGGTTGAGTCCCTCAGACAGGCGCCTGGGACCTGCTCTGAGTCCCTGCTCCTGGAGCCTTCAGCTTCCTGCCAGCCTCCTCCCCACTTCCTGAACCTCACGCCAGATGGCTTCGGGCACCCTGGTCCACTCCTCTCTCTTTCGGCCACCCACCCGATGAACCTGTTCTCCATTAGGCCTGGGAGGGTTGGGACCCAATCACAGTGCCTGTGAGAAGGCAGAGTTTTCTATCGAAGCCCACTTCCCATGATCCAAACTGCCACTGACTTAAGGAAACAGGATTTGAGGACATAGCTTTCTTTCTCAAGTCGCAAGAAAGAGGAGTGCAGAGAAAACATCTTAAAAAGGAAAATCCACATCTGACCATTTCTGCAGAACTTGGTGCTTCCTGATCCAGCACATTAACCAAATGGAAAGCTGTACTTCCATCAAACCCTCCCACGAACTTCTTAGAATACCTTCCTAAATAACTGGCAGCTTGTGGTTGAAGCTCACAACCAAATCTCTGCCTGGAACACAGCACCCAGTGCAGGCCCAGGCTCCGTCTGCTGCTGTGGACAGCCTCTTGTGCAGGCCCCTTCAAGGCTCTTGACCATTTGGTTCCACAGGGCTGTCTGTCTCTCCCTTTCTGTTCTCACTGTCATGGTCAGCTCGGGCCCCATAACAAAATACCACAGACTGGCGGCCTCAACAGCAGACATTTATTTCTCCCAGTTCTGGAGGCTGGAAGCCGGAGAGCAGGTGCCAGCACGGCCGGGTTCTGGCGAGAGCCACTTCCTCGTTTGCAGACAGCCACCTTGCCGATGTGTCTGCACACGGTGGAGAGACAGCGCAAGCTCTCTGGTGTCTCTTCTCGGAAGGGCACAAATCCCATCAGGAGGGTCCCACCCTCATGACCTCACCTGACCCCAATCACCTACCGAAGGCCCCACCTCCGGACACCATCACGGGCTTGGGGGGTGGAGTGTTAGAGTTTCAACATATCAGGGAGAGAATTAGGGAGAGAATAAATGTCTGTGTTTAAGCTGCCATTTACGTCTGTGGCACTCTGTTCCAGAACCCTGCACACTGAACGCTCACACCCGCACTCTGCTGGCCTGAGCGACAGCACGGAAATGGACTGGTAGTGCAGTGTGCAGCGATGGCTCCTTTCACCTGGCGTTTTGTTTTCAGCGCCGCTGATGGGTCTTTTCGTTGCTGCTGCACACTCAGTTGCACACTTGCGGCCGTTCTGCTGTGGGTATGCACTACACTTTGTTCTTTCTACTGTTAGCGGCTGGTTGCCAGGCTTCGGTTTTTATGAAAAGGCTTCCAGGAACATTCTCGTCCACATGTGCACATGAGCACATGTCTGCTGAAGTAGGCATGCTGTGTTCACCTCTGGAAGATAACCCCAAACAGCTTTCCAAAAATCGACGCAAAAATCAAAACTCCTACTGGTACCAAGCAACGGTCTCGCTCTGCTCACCATGATCTGAGCCAATTAATCACGATGAGTTAGAGATCGAGAAAGGAAGCCTTTATTTGATTAGCCAGTATAACCGGAAGATGGCAGACTAATGTCTCAAAAAACCATCTCAAAGAATTACGGAACCTCGAGGCAGTTATAGGGAAAATGGGCAGTGAGGAGGGGTGTGGAGATGTCGGCCTTCGGGCGTGACGGACTCCAGGGTCCCTCATTGTTCTTTTCTTCTGTCTACGATGATGAACGTCCTGCAGGTGTTCCTTCTTCCTGGAGGCCTTCTCGTTCCTGGGGAAGATTTGTCGAGATTGTTAAGAACGAAGCTATCAGGGTACCTCAGCAGGGGTGTGTGCACAGGATCAGGGCCAGAAAATCATGAAAGTGTATAATAATTTATAATGACTACACACTGGAAGGGTTTTAACTGGGAAAGCGTCATTAGTGTGACAAGATGGCCTCACTTACGTCCACTTGCAGTGCTTCCACCAGCAGCACAGGAGACGTTCCTCTTCAGGCGTTTTTGTCAACCTTGGACACTAACAGTTTTGTGATTTCGGGCTTTCTGGTGGGGTGCAGAGGCGTCTGTGTGGTGGGCATTTGCTCTGTGGTGAGGGACGCCTGCACCCCGTCAGAGTCCCCTGCCACCTGCAGCTCTTCTTCGGAGCCTCTGTCCAATGTCGTGACTGTGTGCCGTGGGGTGTCTCCTTCTCACCGGTTTGCAGGAGCTCATCGTACATTCTGGAGGCGATTCTTTCGCCAGTTACAGTCCATTCTCGCTATTCGCGGTTGCTCTGCTCTAAAAAGTCACCGCGAAGATGGAATTACTGAGTGAGGGATCGCGAAGCCCTGCTCCTGGGGAAATCAGCGCCAGCTTCCGCGAGGTGCGGCCGCAGGTTTCCTCAGTGGGTCGGCAGAGCCTCGTTCCGCGTGTGCTTCTGCTGAAAGACACCGCACTGCACGCACGTGGCTGATGCGTGAACGCCGAGCCCGCGGCAGACTGCCCTCGGCCTGCAGGAGCCCACGTGACGCGGGATCTTCTCCGTCAGGCTCGTCCGGCCTCCTGCGCTTAGAACACCAGGCGGAACTCCAGCTCCAGGCCTCGGGCCGTCTTCACCAACAAAAAGCACAAAGGTGTGGAAAACGTGGCACTAAACAGGCGGGAAAGGACACTTGTTGACACGTGAGCTGAAACCAGAAGGCAGAGCGTCGTCCCATCCACCTCAGCTGGGAGCGTGCAGGTCCCCAAAAGACCACGGAAGCACTGTGAGCGTGGATTGTGGGGCCACAGACAAACCCCAGGGAGGGGGTGAATTTGCAATTATGGGGGATCCACTGTGTCTGCACCACAGAGCACACAGCCTCCTCCACAGCAGGCGGCCCTGCCACCCTTTCCATGCTGGCTTTCGGCGAACAGGCCTTCTTAGTTTCCACCTTTTCCAGTGATCTGCCTTGTCCTTTCTGGCAAGGACTTGGGGTGCTGTCCAGGCACCTGCCTGGGCGGAGGCGGTGAGGATGCTGGAGTTGCTGGCTTTCACATTTACATCTCCCAGCCAGCAGGCCTGCTCCGGCAGGCGGTGTGAGGTGGGGTCCAGCTGTGGTCTAGTGACCCGGCACACTGACCAGGTAAGCGTGGGGCTGAGCCAATCCAGGTTTGGGGCAACCGGAGGCCATTGGGGCTCTAAGAAAAAAAGCAAAATTATTATGATAAAATTAGATACACATTTATTCAGAACGAGAGAAAAAAATCACCACAAATTAAACATTTTTTTAAAAGCTGACTAATAGCACAAGCATCACAAAATCTAGAAAATAATTGTTTATAAGTTCATAATTTTTATTCATAAGTTTTTATTCATAGTTGCCTGCTCCTCCTCTCTGATACTTTTTTCATCTACATTTTTTATGGTTTCTTCTTATAACAAATTTGCAATATCATTTTCCAGGGAGAAAAGAGAAAGATCATTTGGCCCCTCCGGCAAAGCTGAGAGGAAAAAAACCCTGACGGCTGTTTTACGACCCTGCTTGCCAACTCGTGACCAGCTGTGTCACACACATCGATAGGACTGCTGCCGAAGTTTGAGAGACTTTCTCTGCTTCTTTCATCTGAAAGCAGGGAAGTTCTGGGCAGCGCACGTTCCCTGCGCTGTGACTGGTCTGGAACGTGGCTGCTGATCTGATGAGCCTTCCCCATGATGTCCTCGTCACCTTGGCTGTCGGGACTCTGCGTGACCTCGTCAACGTCAGCATTTCCTGTGAAGTCAGCGGGTGCTCAGTGCCTTTCTCAGGGTCCAGTGACTCACTCCTCCTGGTTTGTTGCCACCGGAGCTCCTGGAAGCTGTTCTCTACTCCAGGATGTCCGGCATCAACTTCATTATGCAGGGAAGTGACGGGGACGACATAAATACACTCCACTGAACCCCAGCTGACATTTCCACAACTCAACTTCCCCCGGGCCAGATCCCAAAAGTGCCCCCACCTCTCCAGCAAGAGGGGAAGCACGACTGGGAGCCCGAGACAGCGTGGGAACTGCTGTGGTCACAGCACCTCAGTTTATCAGGTTTTACAAAACTCTATGACCCTACAGACCCTGCCATGTGTGCCGTGCTGTGTCCCTGGGGGGCCTTTGTCCATCTGTGCCCACTGCCACGCTGTCCCCGCTGCTCTGGCCATATGGTTCCAATCTAGGAGAGCCGAGGCCCCCACATGTGTCCTAGGTGCAGGCAGGACCTTTCCCTCCAGTGGCCGACTGCCGGCCTTTTCCAGCTTCTGGAGCCGCCATCCCTGCATCCCTGTGCTTGCGGCCCCTTCCTCCATTGTCAAAGCAACACAGCATTTATCCTAAAATTTGCACCCAGGATTTGTTTTAATCAGATATGGGAAGGTAACAGAAACAGAGGCAACTGCCTTTGAAAGAAGAATCTATTACTTATATTTCCCAAGAGAAAGAGTACACCACACAGGGCAACACGGGAGACACCAGTTTGAGCCAGGAGACAGGCAGCCATGAAGAGAACGTGGCTCACAGCCTTACTGGGGTCTCCAAAGGGAAGAACGTGCAAGGCAGCAAAGGTACACACAGAAAGTTAGCACTGGCTGGTTTGAACGCTTTCTGCAGGTCTGGGCTATGGGGGCGGCCCCTGGTTGGCCAGTACCTGGCAGGGGCGGCTTGGGGCAGGGGGAGTATTTGCTTGGTGTGGGAGAAGGAGATGGGAGCCCATGGGGTGTGGGCTCTGGTAGTTCATCTGTCGTTGAAGGCCCTCTCTCATGTCTCAGCGCCTCCAGGAATCCACGAGTCCTGGGCAGGGCCATGTCCCCAGGGCCATAGCCCAAACACCAAGGCTTCAAGAGTACAATCAGGGGGAAACAGAAAAGTTCTCGCCTGCCTAGAGATGCAGCCAGGTCTGATTTAAGAGAGAAAACTGGATTTTGTTATGAGAAGGACCGATGCTGCCACTGACGGTCGACGTCCCAGGGAGAGGCAGCCGCAGCCCACACTTCTCAGCCAGAGATAAATGGAGCCGAAAACAGAAAAGAAAAAAGAGCGGGGAGAAGAGGAAGAAAGAAAACCAAGGTAAGGGAGAAAAAAGCGCCCACTTTTGCCTATTCTTTTACTGGAAGAACTGAGGGCACCCCAAGGTGGATTCCCACAGCCTTGGAGCAGGGTCCCGTCTGTAGGGCCTCCACCCTCAATACCCGATGTCACTGAATTGTGGCTCTGCCCAGCCGACTGCTGGAGCATGTCATGCTCGGGTAGGTGAGCTAGCATGCTCAGTCCAGGGCCCACGTCGCCAGCCTCTCAGCTGCAGTTGCCTCCACCTCGAAGGGACACCATGCGCCTTCTCAGGCTGCCCATGGGTCCCTCAGCTTTCCAGCGCACACGACCTCTGCAGACAAGAGCTCGGCTGCAGCCACCTCTCTCCACGAGCACGGGTGTGGCCTTACACTGATGACAGCCTTCTCCAAGGAGACTCACGTGACACACTCATTACGGACACACAGGTCCAACACCTTTTAGTCCTTTTTGGGTTCTAGTGGCACCACGTTCCTCCCCCAGACCCCTTGGCTACCTGGAGCCCCTTGGGACTAACCAAGCGAACAGCAGTGGGAGTTCGTGGACTATGCAAGTGGCACTGCCAGCCACCAGCGTGACAGAGCTCGGTGGAGTGCTGCTGCTTGCCCTTCCTCAATTGGGACGTCCCTGATGACAGATGTACCCAGGGGTCAAGACACTTGGCCAAACTTCATCTGTTGTCATAGCAGTGGATGCCCTGAACAACGATGGCTTCTCCGCACAGTGATCATACACAATCAGGCCATTGACTAAAAATCGTCCCCTTCAGTGGATGGAACCCTAGGAGTCTCTTGTCTCACAGAATGCAAAATATAAATTAAAATCAGCATGTCTGCACACATACTAAGGCCACAATCCAAGGCCTGGTCAGGACACACCTACTCCCTTTGGAGTTACAGACATTATAACAGTGACCAAGACACACATGTTACTTGTTAAAATACAGAGAGAACTGCCATGTCCCTGTGAGGTCCCAGAGAGCCCATTTAACTGAGAGACTTGATGCTCTTCTTAACCAACTTCTGTCAAATTCCAGTTCAGCAAACAGACCCTAGGTGAGCCTGTGTCTTGTCCGGCCTTCCACACCCTTAACTAAAGGGCCTTTGGCCCACTCACGCCTCACACCAATGAGGAGAGCTCTCCCATTGCCCTTTCCTGCATCGGAAGCGGGTGTGTCCTGCCTGTCATAAAGACTCCTATGTGAGGCCCTTCCTGACGCGCCTTGGGCTCCCCGTGTGGCCTTGCATGGGGAGCCTGCCTCCTGTTCCTAGGGATCTATGAGCACGACCTTCTTCCCTTGTGGCAAGGATTTCCGTGTCTGCACATTGGGCATATCTGATCGAAGCCAATGCCAAGTACAAATTTTAGAACAATCTTCAAACCTCTCTCTCTTCCAAGGTGAGCGCATGGCCTCCTCCATGTCAGCTCTCCCTCTGCCTCCCCCACAGGACACTGTGATAGCATTTGGGGGGGGCCCACTGGGATAATCCAGGATCATCTCCCATCTCAACATCCTTAACTTAATCACACCTCTAAGTCCTTTCACCAGGTAAGGTCACAGTCACAGGTCCTGGGGACTAGGACAGTGGACTCTGTCGGGGGCCAGCCAACCACACTCCACTTATGCCCCTCATGACTTCTGTGCTGTTGTTGTCACATTCTAATTCTCTAGAGACAGTTGAAGACGTGACTGTTGCACAAGTCCTCCTTTGTGGGGGTTCCATACAACACACCCTCTCTGTTCATCTCCCTCCTTCCTGTACTCTGGGCTGTTCTGGGTCATTCTCCTCCCGCTTGAAGGACACCGCTGAATGCTTCCTGAAGTGAGGCTCAGTGGAGACAAACGTTCTCAGAGTTGGTTTCTCCAAAACGTCTTTATTTGACCTTCGTTTTTGCTGGATTTAGATCGTAGGTTGCCAGTTACTCACTTTCAGGACTGCGAAGTTTTCGCTCCGCTGTCTCTTGGCGTCGGCTCTCCTGTTGAAAAGTCAGCGCTCGCTCTTCCCTTTTTGCACGTCGAGGTAATAGGTCTCTTTTCCTCCAGCGAATGGAAGGTTTTCCCTTTTCTGTGGTTTCCCGGCTCCCTTAAGAGGAGTGCGGATCCAGCGTTTTTTGCGCGTTTCCTCTTGGGCTGCAGAGCACTTCCTGATCTGCGGATGGACGGCTTTTATCACTTTCAGGAAATTATCAGCTCCTGCCCTTCCCCATACTGTTTGTCACCAACCGAAGGGGCTGGCGCTTAGGTGGCCTCCCAGGACGGGTCCCGGTGTCTGAGGGAAGACCCTGCTGAGTCAGAGGCTTTCCCCGCGCTGTGAGACGCTTGGCTGTTGGACACGCAGCGCTGCGTGACCTCCTCAAGCCGTGCAGAGTTTAAAGCGTGCACGTTTACACCTGCGACCCCACCTCTAGGGCCCCGCCCTCGCCCCCGCCGGCCCACCTAAGCCCCTGCCCCCGCCCCCGCCCCGCCCCCGCCCCCGCCCCCCCCCAGCCCCACCCCCACCCCCACCCGCCTGGGTTCCAAGACGTGGCCACACCCCTACCCTGCCCCGCCCACCGCCCCCGTTCCAAGACCCGCCCACGCCCCGCCCCGGTCCCGGCCACACCCCTCCCAGGCCACGCCCACCGCCCCGCCCCCGCCCCGCGGTGGCAGTCACGTGGCACGCGACCCGGAGGCGGAACCGGCAGTCGCGGCGCAGACTGACTCCCGGAGCGCGGAGCAGCTGGTGGACCTGCAGGGCTCCGGGGGGTCCGCGCTCCGGCCGTGCGCCACCCACCGCGCCCCTGCGCCCGGACCCTGCGCCCCCGGCGCCCCCCGCGCCCCTGCTATGTGCCCCTTGCGCCCCCGCACCACGCTGCTCACGCTTTTTGCCGCGCTGCTGATCGCGCACCGCGCAGCCCTGGGCGAGGCTCCGTACTTGGTGCGCGTGGACGCGGCCCGTGTGGTGCGTCCCCTGCGGCCCTTCTGGAGGAGCACCGGCTTCTGGTGAGAACCCCGCGCGGGGAAACTGAGGCCCGAGCGGCCCATCTCGCCTCTGTCCCGCCGCGCGCCCGGCCTCCGCGTCTCTGGGACTCCCCTGCCGCATCTGGAGAGACCCTTGGGCTCTTGCGCCCCGGCGACTCCTGTGCCCACTGCGCGGAGTAGGCGCTCCGAAATGAGGCAGGCCGCCCAAGCCCTGAAATGCCCCTAGCCGGCTCAATCCTTCCCCTGGGGTCCACCCTCAATCAGAGCGGAGTCTGGTCTGTGTCGGCTGGCTCCACGCGTTTTTGGGGTGTCGCGGGAATTTCCTGGCTGAGTGGGTACCCTTTGTGTTGGAGGAATGGGTCCAGGCTCAGAGTTTGCCTGGTGGCCGCCAGAGATCTGAGGAGCCTCGTGATTGAGCCTGGTGGCCGACGGGGCAGCCCAGGCCCTGGGAGGGGCCTTGGCTCAGGACACTGCCCTTTGCTGCAGGCCAGGACCTTCTCAAGGGGGCAGCTCCGACGCTGTCGAATGTCCCTGCAGTGGGACCTGCCCTGCATCCCTGCGTGTCCCCAGCCTCTCTGTGTCAGGCTTCCAGCTGAGATGCCCCAGGCTGGTGGGGCAAAGAGCGCGCCGACATGTGGTTCTCTCTTCTCTGGAAGTCCCTGACCCCCATAAACATGAGACTTCACAACGTTCCTGGCGTTAGGAGTCATTTTATTACATCAGGGACATAAAATTCACTGGTGAACACTCCCCAGTCTGTCTGCCAGAGCCTGTGTCCTGGGCAGCCCTGGGGCCTAGACCCGTTGGTGCGGGATGTGCCGGGCCGCTCTGCCAGCCCCACCACGGGGACTAATTCCGCCACTCCTCCTTGTTCTGTCCCCAGTCCCCCACTGCCACACAGCCGGGCTGACCAGTATGACCTTAGCTGGGACCAGAAGCTCAACCTGGCCTATGTGGGCGCCATCCCTCATGGTGGCATCGAGCAGGTGCGGACCCACTGGCTGCTGGACCTCATCACGGCCAGGTGGGTGTTGGAGAGGGTGGGCAGCTGGGCAGAGCCCACAGCATGGAGATGAGGACTGAGGCTGCGAGGAGACGGTGCCTGGCTGTAGGGGCAGCAGGGGAGGGGCTCCTGCTCTGAGGACCTGTTGCTTCTACACTTCCTGGCAAGGCATCTTGTGGGGAGACGAGGAGGATGGTCCTCCTTGGCTCTGCGGGGCCGTGGGTGCCTGGGCAGCCCCTGGGTCGGGCACAGCTGCCCTCCTGCCCAAGGTCTGCCGGGAGGCTTGGGGTCAGGTGGGCATTCCACTGCCCTGGCTTTGTGGCTGGACCAGGCACCAGGAGTGGGCACCCAGGTGACCCGTGCTGAGTGTTCTCGGGTGGGGCTGTGCAGGGACGCTGTGCCCGAGGGCTGAGGTGAGGCTCTGTCACTCACACCTGCCTTTGGCCCTGCAAGGCCCAGCAGGGTGAGGCATGAGGGGTAAGGAACACTTGGGTGTGTGTACTGGGGGGGCTTTCAGAGGCACAGAGACCCTCACGCCCTGGCCAGAGCCCCCAGCTGTCAGGCTTTGGCACCTTAGAGCCACATGATTGCTTTGGGGTCCTCATTCTAATAAAATGGCGATGCCACATCCAACGAGTCTCACGACGCATGGCACCAGAGCCCTGGTTGGCACTGGCGGTGTTCGTCTCGAGGGCCCAGGTCTTGGGTCCTCGTGTGGCTGGTCCTTGTGTGTCTGGGTCCTTGTGTGTCTGGTCCTCGCGTGTGTTCACTGCACCATCCTCCTGCCTCGTTGGGTCGTGTTGGTTCCTCCAGGGCAGAGGCGGCACAACATTGCTCTGTGTGGGGTCCTGGTGGGCCACAGGAGAGAAGGTCTGCCTTGGGCTCCCAGGAGGGAGTGGAGACTGGGGGCAGGCACTGGCCCTACTAGAGGGTGGAGTCGGCAGCCGCCCGCTCCCTGTGGCGGGCTTGGGCCGCCTGCACAGCGCTGTGCACGCTGTGGAACAGCTGCGCTTCCTCAGCCGTATCCCCCTGGTCATCCCCGAGGAAGCCGCCTCTCCTCAGGGCCTCCCTGACCGCAGGGCTGCAGCAGGCCAGGAGCAGAGTGATGCCCAGGGCCCCGTAGTCTCGGCGCAGGTCCCACAGCGTGGCCATGCCGGCCGCATCCAGGAACAGCATCGGGGCACAGTCAATGACAACTGCGTGGAAGCTGCCCGCCGTGGGCACCAGCACAGCTGAGCTGCTCCCTGGGCCGAGGTCCTTGCCCTCAACAGGGTCTTCCTCACTGACCCCTGCTCCTGAGCCCCGCTGCTTTCTCCTGGCGGCCTCGCGCCCTGCATCCAGCCCCGTGAGGCTGTAGAGCGATTTCAGGAAGAAGTCCTTGTTGGCGTAGTAGAGTGGCCCCGCGAAGCGGAACACCCGCACCCCGGGCTCAGGGACCAGGCCCTCAAATTCCTCGGCGTCCTCGTAGAATCCTGAGTCCCCGATGCGGGCGAGCAGGACAGCACGTGGGCGTTGTGTGCGGCCGGCCAGGCTGAGCAGTGAGAGGAGCACGCCAACCAGCAGGCCAGCCTCGGTGCTGACCAGCACGCAGGTGGCCGCAGTGGCCACCCAGACCAGTGCGTCGGCTGGGCTGAGCTGCCACAGCTGTGGGACGTCCCTCACCTTGCGCAGGGCCCCCCGCAGGCTGACGACGATGACACAGGCCAGCACGCTCCGCTGCAGGTCCCGGAACAGTGGCGCCAGTGCCAGCAGCACCAGCAGCACCACAGCGGCACTGACCACGCTGGACAGCTGCGTGCGGCAGCCGGTGGCCGTCTTCACCAGGCTCTTGGCCAGGGCAGCGCTGGTGGCAAAACAGTGGAAAAAGGCGGGCAGCACGTTGCAGCAGCCCACGGCCAGCAGCTCCTGGTTGGCCCGCACAGAGTAGCCGTGGCTGCGGGCAAACATCTCAGCCAGTGAGATGGAGAAGGCGGAGGCCACGAAGGCCAGGGGCACAGCGTCCAGCGCCACGCGCTGCATCAGCCCGGGGTCTGGCACCCGCGGGGCCATGAAGCCCGTGGGGATGTCGCCGGCCACACTAGAGCCAAAGCGCTCATGGAACTGCCCTAAATGGGATGCGAGCGTGGCCGCCAGAATGACCAGCAGCTCCGTGGGCAGCGGCACCTTCAGGCGGTGCCGGCAGCGGTCTGAGAGCTCCTTGGCGGCCAGCAGCACGGCCAGGCACACGGCACTGGTGAGCACGTCACATAGGTTGGCCTGCCCAGCACTGCGTAGCAGGCTCAGCCATGTGCTGACCACCATGCCTGGCCCCTGGTGCCGCGGGACCCGCACGCCCAGCAGGTGCCTTAGCTGGGAGGTGAGGATGGTCACTGAGGCCCCCATGGCAAAGCCGTCGAGCAGTGGCTGTGAGAGGTAGGCAGACACGAAGCCGAGCCGGAGGATACCCATGAAGACCTGTGGACACAATGGGGTCAGGGCAGTGGAGTGGCCGCAGCACAGAGCCTGACGTCTCTCCATTGCTGCTGCTTAGTTCCTGAGTGAACTCTGTTCACAGTCCCCCACGCATGCACGTGCACACAGCCACAGCAGACACTGGAGGTACACGCATGGCCACGGATGCTCATTTCTGGCCCTTGCCAGCCCACATATGTGGGCTCTGAGCCCTGGAAGGCAGCTCCTCTCTCCTGCCCTGTGAGTGGCACCACCCCATCCCAGGAGATCTAGAGCTGATGGGAGGGACCTGGAGTGGTCCCCGGAGGGATTGACATTGGAGTGGACAGTCCTGCCACAGGAGAGGCTGGGTGTGGTGAGGCTGCAGGAGGGCAGGTGGCCCTCAGGGTCCCACACGGGGTGGGAAGCTCAGAGTGGGTATGTGGACCGTAATCGGCATGTCTGGAGCCGAGGCAGCCCTCTGGCTGCCTGTCCCTGCCCAGGCCACGGCTGGCTGGATAGACTCCCCGCCCGCTGGGCACCTCAGCGCCTCTGGGCCCGTCCTGGGGTGTCGTCCCACACACACCTCTGCCTCTGCCTCTCTGTCCTCTCCTTGCCAGTTAACGCCACTGTCCCCTGAGGCCCTGACCCTGTACTTCTCCCGCTCGGCCCTTCCCGGTGGGCGGCGAGCACCTCAGGGGCAGCTCCAAGTGGCTAAGCCGGCATCTGAGCCCAGGCCTGGCTGCGCAGGATCCCGTGCAGCTGCCTCCTCACCTGGTAAATGCCGGCCAGCAGTGTAAGGGCGGTGGCGACACGGATGGCGTAGCAGTCCCTCCCGCAGTTCTGCAGCCCGAGCGCCAGCATGGCGGCTGAGGCGTTGAAGGTGCTGCTGTTGTGCCTGGGCCCCGGGCCATCCTGGGCGGGGTCGAAGCCGGCCAGCAGGAGCTCGCGGTCCACCACCTGCCCCACCATGAGGCAGAGCAGGCTGAAGATGCCCACAGAGACGTGGCGTGAGGTGCCCATGAGGAAGTAGATGAGGTTCGCGAAGAAGGACGTGTAGAGGCTGTAGATGGGCTGCAGCCCTGCCAGCAGTGAGTAGGCGATGGCCTGCGGCACCAGGATGATGCCGATGACCAGCCCGGACATGACGTCCCCCACCAGGTCCTCCCGCAGGCGGTAACCGCGCAGCCAGCGCGTGGCGGGGAGCAGGTCCTGCACCAGCGCCTTGGCCCCCTGCATGCTGCATGTGCAGCTCCGCCGCAGTCTGGCCTTCAGCGTTTCGCACAGGCCCTGGGTTGCTGGGGGCTGCCGGCGGACTAGCACCGGCCCCCAACTCTGCTCCGGGGGCACTTCCATCCTGGGGAACCAGGTCCCTTGGGGAAAACTGCAACAGAGAAGTGGGCATCGTCACTGGGGTGGGGGGACGTGCTGGGTCAGAGGCTGTTGCGGAGACCCAGACACATGTGACCAAAGCCAGCTTCACTGCTCCCTGTCCACCACCCCATCCAGGCGCAGGCCCGCTGTCACCACATGCCCACACCAGAGGCCCCCCTGCTCCCCTGTGCAAACCACCGTGGTCCCCTCCAACCATCTCTCCTTCTCTGCACTGTGGCGCTGGGTGTCATGGGCTCAGAGGAAGAGGGCCTCCTGACACCCCCGTTGAGCCTGGCAGATGCTGGGACCCCAAATCTGTGCCGGGGGAGGGGTGCTCTCTGGAGCAGCACCTGCCACGTGTCCCGTCCTTGTGGCAGGATTCCTGGGACGTGCTTTGGGAGAGGGATCTTGGCAAGGCCGGCAGGGAGGCGGGTTAGGGTGACTGGCGTCTGTCGCCTGCCCGGTGTCCGGGATGGCGGGGCACCCTTCCTGAGTGTGTGTTCGTGTTCCTGGGTTTGGTTGGTGTCCCACACTGCGCAGGGGCTCCATGGAACCGCCTGCCGACTGTCCCTGCTTTCCTGAGGGCAGCCGCCGTCCAGGCCCAGCCCTCTGCAAACAGCCAGCCCGGCCAGCCCAGCCCTCCCTCTTGGAGCACAGGGTGTCGGCGGCCTTGGCCCTCCTCTTCACAGCTGTGCCGAGTCCAGCTCAGACCAGCTCTTGATCTTCCTCTCGTGTCATCGTTGGGCAGACAGTCTCTGCACCCTCAGAGCCTGGTCAGCCTGGTGCTGTGTCGAGTTCCCTGTGTGCGCTGGGCCAGGACACCCGGAGTGTCCCTCGGTGTGGAGGACGAGTGGCGGGCACAGCCTGTGGGCTCCAGAGTGGCGGGTCTGCTCCTTTGGGGACCGTTATAAGGCTGCGTTTCCTTCCTCTGAAGAGCTCCCCACATGGGTCCCCAAGTGCCTTGAGGCTCAAGCTCCTGGGGTCCAGGTGTGTAGATTGAGGGCTGTTTAAATTCCACCTGCCCTGTGCCTGAGATTCCCCAAGAGAAACCCTAGACTCCCGCTCACACTGTCCCCCCAGGGAGCTGGCCTCTGCTGTGGCCAAGTCACCTGGGGCCTTCACTGTCCTGCAGCAGGGCCCAGGGAAGACCTACCTGGGGGAGCCCGGCACGGGCTCGGTGGGCTGGAGGGTGGCGAGGCACCCGACCTGTCTGTCCT